CCACACCCACACCCACACCCACCCGCATCCAGCTGGCACCTCAACACCTCCACCATATGGTTATCCCTTCCACATGGGGCATCCAGTGGGAACTTTGCACCACCACCCAGAACACCGTTTCTTGGTTCCGGTTGGGGTACCTGTGCGTGAATTGCTCCCACATAGTGTGAATGGCGAGGATCTACCCAGTCACGTAAAGCTTAGTGGGGCATTTGCTCATCAATATCCTCAAGGAGCAGCATATTATCCAGCGAGTTTAAGGCCTGTGGTGCCAACATACCAGCCAATGTCTGTTTGTGGTCATCCATATTCTGTACCCTTGGGTGAGGAACGACGCGCTGTTCATCATCCACTTGAAGTGTCTGGCAGACGTCAAAATGAAATATCAGAGCAAGAATTGGCAAACCCTTTTGTTGTTAAACAGCAGAGGCATATGCATGCTCCTGGAATGCCGGAAAAAGTCGTGTCATCTGGTGAACTATCAACATTTCCCCTTTCCAGTCGCTCGCCAAAGGAATCTGCTCCACGTTCACATGCCCTTTCTCCCGAGATGAAACCAAAGACATCCGCTCATACTGAAGAAGAAAAAACTGTTTCGCCACCAACAAGTTCCTACCTATCGAGAATACCATCAAGGCCAGCCTCTGTTTCTGAGATGCGCAATCGAGCTGCTGTTATTCCAGAGCTAGGAGATACTGAGGGAAGCGTTAAAAAATTTCCTGATCCACAACCACTTGTGATTATGCCTACCAGTGAAGACTGTCAAAGGGAGAACAGTGCTAGACTTGCACAAGAGGAATTTGTTAAAGAAACGAAGGACCTCTCCAAAGAGGACAAAGAGGGATCTATGGTAGAATCTTCACAAATGGCTGCTTTTGCCACTTTGGTTGATGTTGCTGCGGCAGCTAGGAAAGTTGATGTTCCAGTAGCAGAACACTTGCCACAGAAAGAAGCCAGTGATGTACGAGTGTCGCCTCCTGTAAGGCAAGGTGGGCATACAGCAGCGTCACATACAAGAGTGAAATCACCACCAAGTCCCTCCAGAGCGTCACCTGGAGCTTCTACACCCCGGTATGGAATTACTACTGGGCTTGTTCCAAAACCTCCGCCTCTCATGCCCATCACTGGAATGAGACCTTTGCAAGAGGGAAGTAACTCCAGCACCACTCCAATCAGTGTCTCAATTGCAAGTCATGGAACTGGCATGGTATCGCGTAGTCCAAGCAAGCTTACATCACCTCCTGGAGCACGATCAGCAAGGGCTTCTGTGAGTCCCGATGGCCCTCCACCACTGATATCCCACACAGTTATCAGTCCTACTTCAAGTAGTCCGTCACAAGGAATGAGCTCAAAAGGACCACCTCCCTTGATTAAAGGCATTGTCTCACCCGTTGCCATGGATCTGAGAAGTCCAGAAAATGTTGACAATTCAAGGAAGACCACATCCAATCAAGACAGCGTCGTTGCTCTTCAACGTTCAGATCAGGAGCCCGCTCAGTTAGATAGATCATTTATAAGAAGTGTTCAAAATATGGAACCTGACTTTCAACGAAAGGTTGGTCAACATCTTCAGGAATCGCCACAAACCTCGTCACATCAGATTGATGACAAAAGCGCCAAGAGGCCTTCCTCGTTGCCACAGTCAGCTCGGCTGCCCCAAGTAAGAACGATATTTGAAACAATCAATTACGTTGACTCTACTCATGCTGAATTGCGACATCCATCTAGACTTCACATGAATCCATCCCAACCTCCCTTCGTTGGGATGTACAGAGAGGAGGATTTCTCACCAGTAACACGACCATCAAATGAAGTGTTTACAGAGATCACCCAACGAGAAGGCCGTTACGCGGATGAGATGCCAAGATCATGGACAAGGAAGGAAACAGAGAGCGAAGAAAATGTGCAACCACCTCTGCAATCCGATCAGTCATTCTTAAGACAGTACCCAGCAGAAAACGTAGATCAAAGGGGCAAAGAATCCTGGCAAGCAATTTCAAAAAAGTTTCCGTCTCATCAAAAATCACAATCTGTATCGAGCGATGAAGATTCTGCTCCACCACAGCGTGGGCCTTCTACGCACGCACCAATCTCCCATGGGTCTGGTAGCGAGACGGAAGAGGGTGATGAAGGTGACATGGAGACTGAAGATGGGGTGCCTCCAGTACATCCCCGCATATTGGCACTGACGAGGAGGAGTTCCCAGGGTCATTCCCAGTCCCCGTATTACGAACCGAGTGACAGTGAAACTTTATCTGCTGAGGAGTCAGAGAATCTACCCGAGAGTAGTGATGAGATGCTTTTGAGTTCAACAATGACGCCATGTACTCAATCCTATGGTAGCTCCGAGGTTGACAAACCTGGCAATCACGAAAGCTTCTATGATGACAAAAATAAACCTGATACTAACCACACCTCTACTACTTCATCTGTCTGTAACCCCAGTGTGTCAGGAGTCTCCTCGGTTGATGAAGATGTACAAATCGATGAATCAGTATCAGACTGCGACGAAAGACAGGAAAGTGTTGCTCCTGAGGATGTTGTTACAAGTACAAAATCTCTCAGTGAAGAGTTGCTTGACGTTAAAGGTGAGGATTCATCCTCAGATTCCCCAACTGCTTCGAGCTCAGTTGTAGCGGCTGCAAAACATCTCCCAAGCTCAGATCCTGGTGCAGAGGAAGAAGAAACAAATGTTGGTTCAAGTCAAGAGTTTCATGGAGAATCTGATGTATATGAACATGAAAATTGTTATCCTTCACAGAGCTCTCCTTCACCCATTGTGGAAGTTAATTCCCTGGTGGAATTGCCTGAACAGGCATCGAGCGGCATAGACAAGTATAACACTGTAACAGTAGAATGCAGTGAAGATGTCCAAGTGGGTAGCAGTGAAACAGATAGAGGTACAGATGTATCGCAGTTCGAATCGTCAGAACCACAAACCTCGCAAGAAATACCAGATAGTTCAGCTAATCTTGAGAATAGACCTGATAGAGGCAAGGTCTCACCTTCGGAAAAGAATGATAATATTGAAGATGATGGTATTACTATGGTGCCGGATGAAAACGCATTGACCACTGTACAGCCTGGGTTAACGCAACCTAGTGAAGTAACTTCCGTGTTGACTGATGAACAATCTGTATCACCGTCGGAAAGAGGTGAAGGTAACTATATATGTCAAAGTGCTCCTGAAACAGAAAATAATAACGTCGCGTCCACTTTATCCGACCAAGAAAACGAAGAATATGAATTGAACGAAGAAACAAGGGAAGCAGACGCATTAGAAAACTCTCCCCAAGCTGAACATGGATTTCTGGTGGACCCTGACACTTACAGCTCCCCTTCAGATACCAACCATCCGGAAATCAGTTCGGCAATAGACTGTGTGTCTGATGATAATGAGCAGGTGTCTTACCCGACTTTTGTTGGGGCGTTTGTTCCACTGCCGGGAGAGGTAGCTTCACCGGATGTCAGATCTGGAGGCTCCACTCAAGTTCCTTCTGATGAGGGCTCAGTCTGTGATGAAGTACCAGCTGACAAAGAAGTGGAGAACACAGAGCAGACATTGTTACCAAAAGTAGAGCCATTAAACGTTTTAAGTCCAAACGAAGAAGCTAATCACACGGACGATACACTCTCAGAAGGAGAGATTCCACCCTCACAAGAGAGCAGTCAGTCTGAAGACGAACCTTTGCCTTCAGAAGGCAAACCTTTGGGTAGCAAAGCTACTTCCCTCCTCCACGATGATTCCATCACTACACCTCAGTCCACCAAGCATCCGGAGACAACACCTCAAATGTCCGATTGTGTTCAACTTCCCTCTCATAGCAAGGAATCTGAGGACGATGATCAGTTATCCGAAGGGGAGATCCGGGAGTCCGAGGACGAACCAACCACGGAATCTTACGAAGAGTCATCCTCGTCAAATGCAAATCTGGTCTCTAGCTCAATGTTAGGCAGGGATGGTGACACTTGTTCAGTTCCAGATAGGGTGTCGTCGAGTAAAGAAGCTACCACACGAACCGAGTGTTACATCAATATGATCCCCATTTCTCCTGCGCCACCCGAATCACCCAGTCACCCATCAAGAGGAGACCGCGCATCACCACTTCCACCATGGCCTTTTACCGAAAGTCACCACCCGTCGGTAGTTCCTTTAGCAGCTCGCATGACTTTCCCTTATTCTTCCTTATCACTCAATGTGGGTTCTGCATCTAGCAGTGCTCGTTCTTCGCCGGTACCCCATTCGTTTGCGGCCAATTTGGCCCCAGGCTCGAGCCCTAGCAGCACGTCATTGTTGTCAAGGCCACAGGAACCAGCCCCTCTCCTTTCAGATAGTTATGAACCGTTAAGTGATGATGAAGTTGAGGAGATGGCTGATAATTCAACCATGAGGGATGAACAGGATTTATAGATATGTTACGGGGACACTCAACTTTGTGCCACAATGAAGTGGCCCGATTTTGTTATTTAAAAATTAACAAATAATTATATTATCTCTGAAGTGTTGTTCCCGGAGCCCTGTTTATCGCTGAACTTTTAAATGTTAAAAATACGGTTTTCGTCTCTCTTGTTGATATTTAACTGTATATTTTATCGTAGCTGATAGGTGTAAAATAAAGATTAGTTTAAAAGTATTGATTAAATTACAACAAACTATGCTACTTTCTAAAATAAATACAAGCGTGAAAAGTCACTTGACACTTAATGGTAAACTGCTCCTATACTAAGTGCATTATTTAACCCTTTCAATTTTTTTTTTAGTTTTAATCTCACGTACAATAAAAAGTAAAAATGTTAATCCATTTCTAGTTGGAACCTCTGGGTTCCATTTATGTCGGTCGACAACAAAATGGTCCTTTTTTCCTTTTGCAACACCTTTGAACTCTTGCAACAAATCTACTTAGTTGGTTTGTGGTATCAGCAGGTAGATGTAAACGAGATTTCTCTAGGCCGTATCGATTCACCTATCATGCCCTCTCATCAATATGTATACTCTCTTTATGCATTTCTTATGATTCTTACAAGGAGAATTTGTTTGACAATTACGTGCTTCTTTTGTTGGTGATCATTTCGTTTACTCTCATGACCTTCACGTTTGATTCACCACTGGTGGTGTGGGAAGAAATTAGAAGCTTGTCACCCTTAGGGGCCAAAGGGTTAGTTGCTTTGGAAAAGCTCTTGAACAGGAAGAATTAAAATTCATAAGTCCTTAGATCAAAGCCGGCTTAGCACAAGACGGAAAACCTAAGATAAGAGAGAAGCCAGTAATCTTCCAAAAGCGCCATTTTTTAGGGCACAAAGGATACCCCAATGTTTAAGAGCAGAGTGTTTCTGTAAATTTTCACAATATATTCTTAACGTTATCTTTTCTTCGTCTCTTTGGACGCCACAACGTATCGCTGTGGCACATTTAGTGGAGGAGCGAAGCCATCAGCGTAAGAAGTATCTTCAAACGACACGGAGTAGTCATCTTGAGGCTGCAATGAGAATTACAAAATATAAACGCCTTTCGATATAATTTGTATATTAGTGGCTCGCGGAGCAAGACACACCCGTAGACATACATCCGTTTTTAGTACATATTTCGTCTGTAAATCAATTCGAATAATTTTCGTCGGGAATACCAACACTCTTTCCGAAGAGTAATATTCGCGCCTTTTGAGTCGGAAAGGTCAGATATTTGCCAAGCCTAGGCTACAGAGGAGCGTATCAACACATGAGTAGGCTTCTCCCGATGGTGCTCGGCAAGTTTTGAGAAACTTTTGGCGTTTGGAGCAACTTTTTGCGGTTCTAGCAACCTCGAGCAATTTTTCCCCTCTGAGAAATTTCAGAATTAGAGCATATATCAAGCACGATTAAGTCAACGATTTCTACTCTCGGTTGATAGTCGGGTCACAATCGGTCGATATATTTCGGTCAACTGTCGGTGATGGTCGTGCGACATTCGGCCGATACATCGGTCGACTATCGGTCGGATAAGTAACCCTTACTTATTGAACTTCTCTAGTAAGTAACAATTTACCATTTACACATTTAAGACTGAGCCCGGAGGTACGCCCACTTACCCTTGAAGGAGGCTCATGAATTACGGCTTTGTAAAAACATGTGGTTTGTGGGTATAGCGCCATCACAATCTAAGGGGATAAAAAAACCAATACGATCAACAAGTTAATATCTTACTCATGTAGTCAATGTAGTGAAGCTTTACTGCGCACAGAGTATTTACTAGGGGAGCTCTGTTTGTTTGTTTGTTTATTTTTCTTCCTTTTTTCGCTCCCTATCGGCTGTCACGTACGTTTTGAGCTCGTCTGCTCTCGAATAAAAACGAAACAAACAACCCCTATCCCGCAAGCTAGCCTAGAATGAGGAATTTTGAGCATAAGTTCAAAAAAGTTCGGCGAGGTTTTGGCACTCGCACATTACATTCCCTAACATGCAGATCCAAGGAATATGATTGGTTAATATACCTGATCTGCTTGAAACAGAGCTTGAGGGTGGGTTACTGGGTTTGCCTTCATCTTGGGCAGCGGTATCACACGTCTTCGGCTCAGATGATGACGTCTGCAACGAACAGTACTATTAATGAAATTTTAAAAGCATTTGCCGCGTTAACATAGTGTCAGCTTCTTACTGGGACACGGGTTGTCTTAATCCTTCACACCCTGTCATCAGTATGCAAATTCTCGATACTTTTCTCCATACAATTCCTCAGGTGCAGACAAGGAGAATTTGTTTGACAATCTAGAGCCTCTTTAGTTGGTGATCACTTCCTTTATTCTCGTGAATTTCATGTTTGATTCAGAGGTGATATTGTAAGGAGAATTTAGATGCAAGTCTCTCGTGGGGATAAAAGGTTAACAAGGAGAGAGGTATCATACAGCATAGAAATTCTGCTGAATTGAACCCTTGCAGACAAATAGAAGTCGCTTTCACTTACTCCTTCCCGTTTCTCCCAGCTTCTTCGTCGATATCGTCAACATCGTATCTTAAAAGCAGAGTCAAGATAAATGCAGAAACACCAAAACGTAAAAAAGAAACCCAAATCCGAGGAATAGTGAAAGCTTTTCCAATCTCAATAGTCAATCACGGTACCGAAAGAATGATGTCATTTTGCTGCGGAGAAAGTGCAGCTTAAGTCAATTCTTTAGGTCAGAATTAACCTGCAGAAGAGGCAAGCGCGAACGCGGGTTGAACGCGAGGTAAACGCGAAGTGCGAGTCATGTGCGAGGGGAGGAGCCCGAATAAATTTTTCGCGCTCCCCTCTCGAGCGTGACTTGGGCTTGCCTTTGCTTTTCCGAACAACGCAAAAACACGCGCCTATTCTGCAGGCTAAATCAGAATTCTCACTGAAAAATCTCATCTGTTTCAAACACAGATTTTCATCAAGAACCTTTAAATCTCCAGCCTTTTCAGTCTTTTTACTGATCACTCATGAAGACATTGTTTAAGTAAAACTAGAATATCGATCATTAACAACAACTAGGATTTGTCCACACGTTGTTCGCATGTATCTTTTCTTCTGCTCATCATAATTGACAAGCAAATAGTAAGGTACAAGTAAATATACAATGCTGAATGATGCAAAGTACTTCTCCAGCATAATTTTATAGATTGCCAAAGGATACTTGTTTGACGAAGGATTAAATGACACTATTTCCGCCAAGATCAACTGTTCTTCGCCGTCAGGTGTGCGCACACGTGCAGCAACCTAAAACATTAAAAAAAAATTTTGGATTTAGAGAGATGAGTGAGGAATAATTTTAAAATAATGAGACACTCTTTGCCAACTTACATGATCTCCTTGCTGGGCAACATAATTAGGTTCTGCTTGAATGCATCCACAAAGAGGAGGGGGCCTGGAGGAGAATACAAGAGGCATTATATTCAATAACACTTTTAAAAGAGAAAGACGGAGAATTAAACAGTGTTTACAACTGATCCACTCCTAGCATATGAAATATATTTTCCATATTTTAGAAATAGGAGTTAAAGCAGTCCTGACTAGTTTTGCAGTGGTCATTTCCAAGTGCTCCACTGATCCAATCAGCTTTGACAAATGTCTGGAATGAGAGCATATAGCTAGCAGAGGTATTAGTAAGTTTGTCAATTAGCAGCTTTTGTGACTGTAAATATATGAAGATCATAATATGAAATTAATTTGAAAGCATTCTCAGCAGTATAATGAACACTACTTTAGCAGTAGTGAAAATAAGGCCTGAAAAAAAAATTCAGGCCTGTACTGGATTTGAACCCATGATCTCTGCGATACCGGTGGAATGCTCGACCAACTGAGCTAAAAAGCCAACTGGGAGCTGGTCACTATGTTCCACATAAACCCATGAAGTGATGAATAAATAACTATGTGTGAACTGTGGATAAAGACATGAATATGGAAACGATCTTCACAGTAATGAACACCACTTGAGCAGTAGTGAAAATAAGGCAAGACAAAAATTCAGGCCTGTACAGGATTTGAACTCATGACCTCTGCAACACTGGTGGAGTGCTCTACTAATAATTACAGAGGAAGTAAATGGCTTTTAAAGTAATCCCTATCTGGTTGAGGCAATTTTTCATTCATGAGGGTTGTAGTCCTTGGATACTCCAGGCACCTATCTTCAATTACACAAGGTAACAGGTTAACCTACGTTTCAGAGGCTTTCCCCATCCACATTGGTAACTGCAAAGCAGCCTGCTGTAACATTGTCATGAGCACTCCTCTTCTCATCACTTTTCTAAAGAAAATAGATGAAACAGAGCCTCAGATGGCAAATTGGTCACAAATCACTTTTTTTTAATATTAATCTTGTAAAAATCACATACCATGTTTGGTTGATTAAGGCCATACCTTAGCAATTATCATTTATTAATAATCAATTGACTTAACAGTCTCCATATTTCTACAAAAATATAAATAAAGGAAATTGTTAACAGAAGAACAGATAGCACAATCTTTCTCTCTTTTTGGCGAGAAAATCAGCTTCCCCCTTCCCTAGCTTGCTCTATGTTCGCAAAAATTTCAATATCACTGCCTATTCATGATCTGAGTACCAGAGCAAATTGGCAGAGATGGAAATACATGTATATAGAATTTGAATTGAAAGGTTATTATAATCATTGTGTAATATCATTGTTAATTTCATCATCAGTATCCATAGTTTTCTCCATTACCAAGTGTGTTTTAGGACAGCAAAACTCAAAAGAAAGATCACAATAAATTAACTTTGGATAACTAAATTTTAGATCCTACTTAAATAAGCAAATGGATTTGTGAATGGCAATACATGTAATCACCTTGGTTCCCCTGTTTCCTGATTACCAAGTCGACTGCTACCACCACGCACTAAAATAAATTGACAATCATTACAAATCAGTTATTTGGCTGCTTATAGATTTCAGCTGGGTCATATCCTGTGAGAAAAATCACTTTGAAGCAGCACTTCAGTATAAACCCTTAACATCCTATCATCACTATGCATATTCTCAATACTGTTCTTCATACATTTGCTGAGGTGTTGATAAGGAGAATTTGCCTAACAATCAAAAACATCTTCATTCATTATTCGCATGATCTTAATGCATGATTCAGGGGTTAAACTGTAAGGAGAAATTAGATGCTAGTCACTCTTAAGGGTAAAGGGTTAGGGATATGGTAGACCTTAGCAGGTGTCCTTTGTAAAAAAAAAAAATGCTTATGCGCTATTTGAAAAACATATAGATGGAAAGGTTATGAAATGCACTAGCCAGCTACATTTGTTTAAATTTGTTTCTGCCTGATCTAACTGTAAATCCACCAAGACACAATAAATCAAAATAGACTACTTCTCTTTAAGCAAATTAATTGGGTTTCAAATCTGACCACACTCAGTTTCAATCATACGCATTAATTTTCCAGATAGCAGATGCCCACACTGGGTTTTCTTGGTTTTAAACAATGCCTTGGGGATAGAAGTAAATAATGAAAAGATATTTATCTCACCAATCCTTCTATCATTTCTCAGTGCCTTAATGCTGGCTATTTTGTCCAAAGCCTTTTTGATTATCCTGAAAGTAAAAAAAAAGGTTCAAAGTCTCAGAGAGAAGTAAGTTTATGTAAGGAAATTGTACCCCTAAAATTCTTTATGACACATGATATTAGAAATCACTCACTCCACTTCTGTCTCTGCATCTGTTCCTGCTGTTTTGTACAAGCCTCGTAGCTTAGATTTAAAGTAAGATGATACTACAGAAAAGAGACAATCACCATTAAGAAATATTTGCAGTTTCAAAGACACAATGATTTCAAACAGGAGGATTGGACTGTACATGTGAAACAAATCATAACCAGTTTGTCTTATGACCCTTTCACATTAATTTATAATATAGCTGGTAAATTTGTCTACTCAAATTCTATTGCACGAGTGTGCTTCATATTCCTATTGTGCACACTCATGATGTCAGCAAACAAATCCCTTGAGGAAAAAAATTTTCTATTGGGTTGAAAATGTTATAAAACAATTGGTTCATACGTCAGCTGTGTGTTCATCAATATATGAAGCACTTGGGAAGTTTGGAGAGCACTCAAGAAGCTAGAGTTGCTCGAGGCTACGCCTCAAGCAAGTCTTACACATATTTCATGCTCTCCAAACTTCCTGTGTGCTTCATATCTCGATGAACGCACGCTAAAGTATGAACCAATTGTTAATTAAAAGCACTCCCTACAGATACTAAATGCTTGATTAGGGGGTGTAAGGAGGACTCCTATGGAATGCTGAACTCCTATTGAAAGGTTCCTGAAGGGGGCAGTTTCAAGGGCATAAGTCATCTCATCACTTAAATACTGGACTACAAGCCACCCATCATTCCCAGTTTGTTGTACTCCGCAAACCAACAGAAATCAACAAAAAAAATTAAGTTGGTGTCAAACCAACTCTGTAAGTACAGCAAAGAAGTCAAGATCAACATCATCAGAATATCCTATTCCAGCCATCAAAAGTATTTTAACAGCATTGTTGTGAATCTATTATTCTCTGACTTTTCATAAGCTTTATGGTGGGGTCTCTCCACCAGGGAAGTTTTCCCGATGAGTTCAATTTTTCTTGGTTCAGTATAAATTCTCATGACTTTTCTTGACCTTGAGGAACCTTCTCTATCCAAAAATACTTCTTTACAACCTCAATTGATAAAACTACCTAACCCCTCACAATGTACATCAAGCTTAGAGCCTTGCACTTATTAAGGTTCTCACTAGATTTTCAGGAGGTAGGGCTTTTTCATTATACTTCGACAAACCTTTAACTTCTGTCTTCATCTTCTCGTGAGTTTTTGCAATGGTCGATAGGTTTTGCTCACTTTGTGTTCTTTGCTCCTAAGAGAGGACAGAACATGCATTGATTGAAATCATCAATAAGTTAAGGAGATAATCGGTACGTTTACATCAACCTTCACACCCCTAACATTAGCATTACCCTTCACACAGTTCTCTTAATTTATATTTACTATGGTGCAGACAAAGTGCAAGGCAAGGAAAATTTAATTGACAATCAGGAGCTTCTAAAGAAGGTTATAATTCAAAGGTGATACCATAGGAAAAATATTGAAGGAAGTCACTTTAAGGGGTTAAAAGGTTGAGTAACAGTGTAATTTAACACTCAACAAAGACAATTTAAGGTGGTTCTGAGACTAAATTGCAGATTTTAAAACCTTGCCAGGGAGATAGAGTGTGATCAGCTAGGTAACCACAATTTGATAAAAAAAAAAAACAACAGCAACAACAACGACAATGAGGGGTTACCTGAGTTGTTTTTGATTCACCTGCAAACATAAAAAGCTTACATTGACCCTAATTACCCAGTGATTAACAATAACCTTCTCCCTAAAATATCCATACATTCTCCAGCAAACAGGTAATGAGAACACCCAAACTTATCAAGGAGTTGTTGTTATATTTATCACATGCCAGATTCTCATAACCAATCTGGAGGGAAATGTGTAGAAGGTAGAGGGGAGAATTAACAATCAGATCTTGGAAGTTAAAGGGTTAGGGATAATATGTAGCATAACTGTGCTACTGTTCAATATCCTTTAGAGGAAACGAAGGAAAAGTGCGGTACTGTTGATCCAACAAAACTATTTTCTCACTCTCCCCAGGCCTTTTCAATAAACTAAACATGGACGCCTGTGTAAATATATCGATCAAAACGTAACAGTACTCTTGAAGATTTAATTTAAAACTAGCCAATATTTTTAGGAATTAAATGCATCTTAAGATCCTCTAGCGACATCTAGAATAAAAATGTCATAATTTTTGTCGTAAATTATTCGCTGAATCGTAATCAGAAGTGTTTTAATAAGACAGATTTATACCTGGATTTGTAGCACAAGAGCGTGAAGTTCCTTGAGTAGAGAAGGAACTGTGTTACCATTATTGCTGGTGTTTGAAGAACCAGTTGCTAAGCTGCTGGCCTGACCCGCTGATGATGAGGTTGGATTTCTCGACCTTCTCATACTGCTTATCAAACAACACACACAAACTCAACTTTGGACTCGTGACATCGGCAGAAGTCGGACAGTGTTCGTTGATCTACCGAAGTATCTTCGGAAAAGATGGCGTGATTTGACAGGAGACAACCGCACTGACGGCCGGTCCGAAATTAGCATTTCTTGGCATGCATGTAAAATCACGTCTGCCGCGATAATGGTGGGTATCACCTTGTTTATAGCCGGCTTCTTCGCCTTTCCGTCGTCCCACGTTTTTTTCACCTTCCTGCAGCGGTACATTTTTCCAGGACTGAACTATGTCGACAGATTTGCCATAAGTACACGGTAAGTTAAATGGGGAGATGTGATTCAAAAGAAACCAGACTGAGTGTGCGTGTATACAAACTTATACTAAAAAGCTTTTTCGCCATTGTAAATGCAAAATCCATTATGACGCGATTTTTAGAATTTAGAAAAATTGATTCCTTCTTTAGATGAAACAATTTTACTATTTACTTTTTGACAGGTTTGTGTCGGCGCTTCAAGCGCTTGGCGCCTCTCTCGTTGGTTTAAAAGTTGTTTTCACCTCCACTGACATCATGTTACACAGGTAAAGAAAAAAAAAATCGACTTCCGTAAACACTTAATAACTTCAATTTCATGCGATAAGGTGTCATTGTCGACATTTGCTGCCTTTTGTGTTCCGGTATGTCGAAAACTCGCCAGCTTTGATGTTATTGCGCAAGTTTTTTCATATCAATATTTTCTACTTTATTCTAAGTGATTTTAAATTTTTTTTCTTTGCTTCTTTCAACAATCCGCGAACATCTGTTGACATTCAGCGCAAATTTAGGCAAATTGTTTGTTTTGATGTCCGAGGCTGAGAAACAGGTGAATTTTGGAGACCAAAACCTGCCTATTAAAAAGTATCGTACCTTAATTTTTATTATTTTGTATTGGCGGTTACTTCCCGCGTGAAGGAAGGATGCCATTAATCCTAGTCTAATGTTTGCTGTTTTAAAAAAAACTCTAAGTGGGAAATCCACACTAAAAACTTCTCGAAACACCTATTTTTTTCTGCTTGCTTAATTTCATGTATAATAAATTGCTTTTATAGCAACAATCCATTCTCAGATAGACACCATATTGATAAGTACCTTAATAAATAAATTACCGTAGAGATTTAACTGCGGAGTGGAAGTTTATCCAATCAATAGCCAGCGGGAAGTGGAGGTTACCACCCATTCTTGATTGCTCTATCCAAGATAATTGTCAGATTAAAGCGTGTCTCAGGCGTAGTCAGATATGAACCAGTAATTCCTCTTTTTTTTCCTCTCTCTCTCTCTTTCTCCCTTTCCTTTTGCCATGAAATAAGCTCAGAAATTTATTTTGTTTATGTCATTGTACTCTGGATAGAAACTGACCACCATATTGTTTCAATCATGTTTTCTAATTCTTCCTAAGAAAGACTATTTGTTCTTTTTGCCGACCACAAATGCAAACAAGTGTTGATTTTGAGAAAGGCATTTTAAAATAATAGTCTACATATCCTTTATTCAAACTTGCAAATAAATTAAAACTAAACTCAAGACAAAAGAGGTTTATATGGTAAATATTTGTACCAAATGAGGATACAAGCTCGAGGCATTTTAATTATTGATGTGGTTACATATAACAACTTATTCCAAACCTGTGCTCTCAAAATAATCTCAGGTTACCTCAAGGTTCTTTTCTCAGAGAGCATGGTTGCTTATCTATTAAAAGCTTTTGTAAAAGAGGCATACAATCCCTAAGACAATAGAGTGTTGCCTGAGGCACCTGGGTTCTTTGTTTCTGGGCAGTGCCCTGAATTCTCCTGTTTCTGAGCTCTGATTATTACATGCAACAAGAAATACACCTAATTAGAGGTTGGCAAAGGGTTTGTGTATGTGATGGGTGATTAAGGCCATAAGGCCAAACTTAATATGTGGCATGTGAGTTTTATAGAAAGATGAGGGCAATTTGTGAATTTATAAACCAGCATGAATCTTGATTTGCCTCATGAAACATATGAGACCATGAATTTTTTTTTTCATTTTGTGAAAACCTCAGGATCAACCTGAAACCATGTACCCAAGAAGAGGGATCAGAAGTTATTTTTTATGTGTATTCGTGAAGCGTGAATTTTTCTAAAAAATTTCATGCATGAAGCAGGACCAGGACCTTCCTCCCCCCTCCAATTATAGATTCTCTGCTGGGATATATGTAGTTTTGGTTTGGGTTAATAATAGATATACATGTATTGACTGATGGGTTTTTGTCATTGGTGGTTATATAAAGATCAAGCAGTAGAAAATGGAAATTATCTTACCATAGGACTTAGGATAGGATAGCTTAGCATAGGATCTTACCATTAGGACCTTCCTTCCCCCTCCAATTATAGATTCTCTGCTGGGATATATGTAGTTTTGGTTTGGGTTAATAATAGATATACATGTATTGACTGATGGGTTTTTGTCATTGGTGGTTATATAAAGATCAAGCAGTAGAAAATGGAAATTATCTTACCATAGGACTTAGGATAGGATAGCTTAGCATAGGATCTTACCATTAGGACCTTCCTCCCCCCTCCAATTATAGATTCTCTGCTGGGATATATGTAGTTTTGGTTTGGGTTAATAATAGATATACATGTATTGACTGATGGGTTTTTGTCATTGGTGGTTATATAAAGATCAAGCAGTAGAAAATGGAAATTATCTTACCATAGGACTTAGGATAGGATAGCTTAGCATAGGATCTTACCATTAGGACCTTCCTTCCCCCTCCAATTATAGATTCTCTGCTGGGATATATGTAGTTTTGATTTGGGTTAATAATAGATATACATGTATTGACTGATGGGTTTTTGTCATTGGTGGTCATATAAAGATCAAGCAGTAGAAAATGGAAATTATCTTACCATTTGTGCTTTTGTAAACAAACATTTCCAAATTCCTTCCACATGAGAAAAATAAAGACTTAATCAGGGGTAACCTAACCTACATGTATATTTATAGCTAGAAGAAACTGGTATGGTGGGCCTTTTACCTGAACTACTTAACAATTATTCATCAAAGTGGTCATGAATAGTGGTGGATATTTGCTACCACTTTCACTTACCCTTAGTTAATTTATTTTTAATCAGTAAATACTACACAGAAACCAAAAACATTGGTTTATTTCAAGCAATGCACTGAATACTTGATCAGAAATTGAACTCTTGATGCTGGATTTTGTTTCTTTGGCTGTATGGAGGTGAATAGTACTTGCTGATCACTTCCAATTTCACAATCAATGTTCGGGGTTATTGCTTAGTGCCAACTCGGGGGGAAATTCGCTGGATGAAAAAGCGGCAATTGCTTGGTAAAGCACAATGGGTTCTTCTGACGTTGTGCACTTAAAATTGTCTGATATCCAACACTGTCTGGCTTTCAGCTGCCTCACTTGAAATTTCTGCCAGTAGCATCATTTCATAGCGATAACCCTGTAAGTAACAAGTCGCTTAAGAAAATACTAAATGGGCCAGTGACAGCCTGGTATAGATCATGAAATTCATAACTTTTGTTTTGCAGGCAACCAATTTTAACCCTGTATGCCTACTTTGGATTGAGTTATTTTTATTATGATGTGGTGGTGATGTTTATTGGAACTTATCTTGAAGAAAAGCAGGAAGACCCACAGAGAGACTTGTACTATATTTGGACAAAATTTTTTAAAAAGAAGAAACTGATTGTCTTCCACCACCTTCTTCTCCCTCTTGTTGGGTTTCCTGCTATTACTGTAAGCAATGATACTTATTATTATGTATTTATTGACTGAGTGGAAGGGCCTCATGGGAAAAATATTTGGCTAGACATCACGATGTGTGGACCTCAGCACACCCTGTCCATGCATCATGACCTCCAGCCAAATATTTTCCCATGTACCTTCTCTGAGTATTTTTACAGGTTTTGCTGTATTTTGATGAGCATGTAGGTTGAGTTAAAATACAAACAATGAGTATAAATACCCATTGATACTACACACCAAAACATCTAATAAGTTATTTATTATCCAACTGCTTGTTTTTCTCCTAAGTCTTTCTGTTTAAATCTCATAAGGCGGGTAGAGCAAAGTGGATAGAAAAGCATAGCATGCACAGCCCACTGGTTAAACAGGTTTTTTTTACAGTACAAAATCATCAACTGTTCAAATAACTGTACAATATCACAGTATATTTACACTCTATTCATGCATTATTTGTACTCTACTTTGTGCAGTTGGATAATAAACACCAGTACTGTGCACTTGGTAAAGAAACCCAGGATCCCTGTTTGAGAAAATAGATATTTTCTTCTAAAACTCATTAACTATTCAGAAGGTGATCATCCAACCAAGACACACCAATTTCATCTCATGCATGTGGTTTGAAACCCTGGTGAAACACTAGAATGATGTGCTATTCATGAGTTTCATTTAATATCAAACCCTTGAGTTTGATAAAGCATCAAACTATAGCGAACTCATTTCGTAATTTAAATATCAATACAACAAACTTGCAACCACATGTGAAAAATTTGAATAATTCCATTTTCTTTGACTCCTGAGGCGTGATTGAAAAGCTATTTCAAAAACAAGTGCGAGGGTTTCAGCAGGGTTTCCAAACACTTAAAAACAATAAAAGCACTAGTCTGCAACCTAGTGCTTTCATCAGTTTTCTTGTATTTGCCATGGAAACCCCAATGAAACTCTTGCACTCATTTTTGAAATAGTACATCAAAACTACAATTCTCACTTTTTTTTTCTAATAGTCTTACATACTTTTTAATCAAATATGGTTTCTAAGAATTGTTTTCTTTCTATTTTAGATATGGAGGAAGCAAAAAGGAGACTTCTTCTTAGCATGTGTATATCTTAATGAGATGAGCACTCCATTCTTGTCCTTCAAGGCAGTCTTAGAAACGGTATTAGTCCCATTCTTGGGAAAATCATGATTTTTATCATATTACTGATTTTTACTGGTACATACAACTGGGTTTCAACAATGACCTATACAAGACTTGCCAGTTACCTACCATCAGGTTCTATCCTATACCAGTTTGATATGGTTTACATTACTGCAGAAAGTAGGAGAGGCAATGGGCTAATGTCTAGTGCACTGGATTTTATATTCCAGGTAGAAAGGTCTGGGTTCCAGACCTGGTCGGATGATTGTGTTGTTTTCTTGGGAAAAACACCTCTCTTTTACACTACCTTTCTCCACCCAGGAGTTAAAATGTGTACTGGCAAAGTTTCAGGTCAAACCTGATGAAATGTTGGGGGTACTACTAACCTTGATATAGACTGACATCCCATTCAGGGGAAGGGGGGGGTGTATTATACTCCTAGACACTTCATGCTATGGAAGGTGGGGTAAGTACCAGCTAGATGGGCCACTCAAGTACATACTTAACCCTTTTTTACCTACATGTACTCCAGACAATTTGTAGAGTGTCAAAGAAGGTACACTATGGTATTCTTTTGATCTAAACTCCAACTTGCAATTAAAACCCTAAAACCACTTTTAGTGTAATTAGTTTATGAGAACAGGGTATATTTGTTCCACTCCTCAGACCCCATTGCCCTTTACCAGTAAGCAGAAAACCTACAAATTATCTTCTAACTGTGTTTCACTATTTTCTTTTTCAGTTTGAAATGAGGAAATCAATCTTGTATGTAACTAATGGTGTTCTTTTAGCAACTATGTTTCTGTGTTGTAGAGTACTTGTTTATCCCTATATGTACTGGTGTTATGCTCATTATGCCAACATACCCTTTCTACACACTCCGTTTAAAATACCTCTCTTTTGCAATTCATTCTGCTTGTTGTTGTTCAGTGTACAGTTGTACTGGTTTCTCATAATTGTGCGCGGAGTGTTTCGGTTCTTTAAACCTTCTCCAAAATTGCAACAGAAACCAGTTTCAAATGTAAATGGTGAAAATGGTTTTCATTATAAAAGTGACTGATGGTACATAACATAAGTGAACATTTTTCAGAGGAGTTAAACTCAAGCAAAATGATATGGTGACACATTGTTTTGATGAAATTAATTGCCCCTGGCACAATACTTTTGGGCTTGAAGTGATAAAAAGTTATTATTTACAGGCCCAGGCAGATAGCTAAAGAAGAAGTAGACCACAAACCATTTCATAAGTCCATGGATGAGATAAAAATTATACGGTTTTTGAAGCAAATTTATGTATGCAAAAGGAAAATGAAAATTTGAGCAACAAGGCTTGAAAAACATACAAATCTGAAGGCCCCAATCCTGTGAAGGTTTACTCTTTTAAAAGATCCATTTCTACAAATCAAATAAATCAAAATTTGAGAATGCAACATAATCTAACTTATTTAAAGATGTACTAGATAATTATCATCTTGAATGTTGAATGTTAGAAAGGGTATATACTCAATTTTTCAATGTAATATATGTCATTGGCCTGCAGATGAAAATCAAGTAAAGTAATGAACCTCACAGGTGAGGAGCTGCTGAATTTTCACTTAAAACCTGAATTTTTTTCAGGATTCTTTTCTGGAATTATTTAATTAGCAACTCACCTGCGAGGAGCATTGCTTTATTTGATGGTATTTACTGATTATTTGTTATGCTTATCGATTGAAAAGAGACTATCATTGTAAATTTTGTACAGTATTTACCAGTTGAATTTGGAAATCAAACCAAAGAGGAAACAAAAGAGAGCTGCAAGTATAAGATGAAACTATTTATGAGAAAAGTGAATAAAATTCCTCTTTAGTAGAGCTAAAGCTTAGCATAGAAAATATAATTTGCCGAAAAGATTCATTTCTTCAATACTACTTAATTCCTAAAAGTATTTGTTTCAAATCAAAATGAATGGGCTTTATACATTAGAAAAAAACACATTCATGTACATTATTTTATAAGCCTTAGCTTATGAACTGTTTTGAAAAGTTACATAATTTGCCAAGTAGATAAAGAATGTAACTATTTAATGTATTATTTTCTCATACTGCTTCTTTACGACTTTTAATAAGGGGTATGGTTTTCAAGGTGACATGTTTTGAAATTTTGGATTTTTAATATTTATTAAGTTAGGAAATAGGGCTACTGTCTGTTGAATTGGGAAGATTTTTTTATCACAGAGATGCATGCTATTTATCTGTTGTGGTATCAATTTCAAATAAAGCAAAGACATATCAATTCATAATGGTCCTAAATACTTCTTCTTGCTTAGTTTATACGGGAGCTTAATGTTGATGCCTAGATTATATTAAACCTTTGTTGTTGTTGTTGTTGTTGTTTTTTTTTTTTTTTTAAGGGAAGGGTTAAATCAAAATGTATATTTGTGTCAAAAAGTAAGTTTGAAGTTCCTTGTTCCTTCTCACTTCTCCTCACAAGCTATTGGTATGCAAACAATCATTGTACATGTCATTGAACTTTGATCATTCAGGACTTGTGTGGACCGGGCTTAGTAGTCTAGATAGTTGAAAGTTCAGATTATCAAAAATATGAATATAAATGTTTAGAGATACTAGGAGTAGAGAACAGGGAAGCATACCCAGAAAATAAAAAAATCCAGATAATAGATGAAGAGGGGGGTTATTCAACATCTGTTCCTGAAGGGTCACATCTTGTAACACCAGCTAGTTGGGGGAAGTTGTCAGACAAGAAATCATATCGACCAAATATGTGCAGGATCATATTCTGTTGTTTAAAAACAGTTTTCAATTGCATTGGATAACCAAAACACAAGGCATAGGAAAAAATTTCTATGAATTCACTAATAAAGAATATGTTGGTGTAAGTAAGCACATAGAAGGATCATATGCATCAAGCATACTGCTTGCTATGACCAGCTGTGTTAAAAGCTTCATGTGAGTGAAGATGGTAAATTTTTAGTTCAGCTATCAAATTAAATTTATATGATAAGCTGAATAATGCACACATTTTAATGGAGGAAAGTACAGATGCATGGATGACATCACCATTAACAACACATCCTTTTTTATCACGCAAAACAAATACATTCCATGTTGCTGTGGGTCTGTACAGTAATAGATCACAGAAGATGTCACATTGATGACATATTTGGCTGTGCTTTGCATGCCACATTTTAACATCATCTGAGATCCACAACTGAACAGACACACAGCAAGATAAAATCTGTTTGTTAAGCATTTCTTCAAAAGTTTGGCATGGAAAGATACCCAAGACTACACACTTGTTTACATAACCAATGTGATGGTAAACTTTATTTAACACAAATTCACTTAATATCTAAAACTTAATAATATCACTAACTTGACAGACCCTTTGCTTGGTTTTGTTTTTTCATAAATAATAATTCATCATGAAGCCTTTCTGTTGTAAAAATTTGATGAACAACAGGTTTAAGAGTAGGCTGGTGTCAAGAGGTGATAAGAGAAGTTCAGTCAAACTTTATAAATCCAGAAGGTATTAGAATGTAAATTCTCCATATATTTTCAGTACACTGTCAAGCAGATAAGCAATTAGAATGAAGAAAATTATCAAAAAGGGGATATGGTTTTCAAACATCACCAAATACCCAGGATTAGCCTGCAGAGCAACAAGTGACATTGGTTTGAAGCATTAACTTTCAGATCCTGAGAGCAAAAGGAGTTTAAAAAAAAATCACCTTTATCAAGTTGTAATTACAAACTATGGCAAATAATTGAAAATTGGAGTTCAAATTACAATTTACATCTTGGTGATAAGGAATCAACTTATCAAGACTAAATCCAAATGAAAACACAATTGTGATCCTTTGGAAGTTTTCACTATTAGGACAAACACTGAAAAACTATCATGGTATGAAACACCTTGTAAACCTATGGCACTGATGCACAATATTTTAGCTACTAAAAACTTTTACCTTGGAGAATGAATTTTTATCCAGCTGTTTTCAAAGCTTTGGGTAACAGAAATTTGCTATAGTGTAACACGGTGAAATAAATAAAATCAACCAAGCTGTAGCTGTCACAATTTACACAGACAAAATAGTGTTGGTAGAAACACTGCAATAGCTATAGCTATAGGAATTAACATGCTTGATTCATCGTTGGCATAAGGGTCAATTGCTTTAGGGCCAGAAATCTTACGCTGTTTCTTAGGTTTATCTTCTTTACTTTCTTCATCTTCATCATCATCTTCATTATCTTCCCCTGGGCGTGATAGAGGAGGTAACTTTGGTACATCTGTAAGAGAGAGCAGTGGATGGCATTCAAAAACAAAATCCACTGTTCCAGTTAGGGAATAATTGTCCAGAAATTCTGTCCAGAATTGTCCAAAAAAATTCTTCAGTCAGTGCCCTTAGTATCCTTCACTTGATAATGCCAAGCTCTTCTTCAATGAAGATTGTTCTTCAATCCTGGCACTCTCTGTTGTCAAGTATTTCTCCTAACTATTTAATTACATGTACATTGTCTGGCAAAGAGCCAGTTACTATATCTTGCAGTTCCTGCATGTGCTGTGATTGGTCAATTCAGCAGGAGCTAATTCCCTATACAGCCCACTCAATTCCAAAGTTTGTTTGAATTGAAATATTTTTTTGAACCCAAAGATACAAAACATATCTTACAAACCTCCTTTTTCCAGCTCACATTTATGGCCCACGCACTTTACACTTGATCCACAAATGCAAGCCAAAAAACTTAGTACACAACTTACAGTATGAACCTCAAAATTGGAAAAAATGGAAAATGGTACTCACCCTCTAGAGTTCCTTTCATAACTAAAACAGCATTAACTTTGGGATTATCATAGTAGCCCTGATTTTAAATAACAAAACAGCGTATGAGAAACTATAGTGAAAAAAATAGAATCCAATTCCTGGGTTTCCTGTTTTTGCCAAAATTAATGAAATGGAGGGGTCAGTCTCACAACTCCCCATGTTCACTATGAGATAAAATCTCTTCACACATAAAAATGTTAAAAATTTGTACAAACCAACTTACCTTCATAAATTCAACATAAACAGTTCCACTAAATGGTAATGTTTCCCCATCGATCAGAACCTGGTTGTTGTTTATTCGAAATGGAATGTACTCATCATGACCAACCCCTCTACCAACTCTCTCATAAATGTCTAATCCTTTAAGTACAGTATGTTGATTTACTGCCACATCAAACACCTGCAAAGAAAACGAAACAAAAATGTAGACTTCTCTCTAAACATCTCCATATTGGATCAGTAAGTTTGTGTCTTTAAATCGTTCCAAGGAAGGGCTAATGCTTGAATAATCAGCTTTAAAGGCTCTTCACAGCAGCCAATTTACATTATCAACTCAGTTGATAAAACCAAATCATCTTTTTGTACTTCCCCCCCCAACCACCAATGCAGCACCACAGTTTATTTAGAAACTTACCACCTGTATTCTAGAATTAACACTTCATTAATCCAAAACCTTTGTAGGCAGAATTGAAATTCATCAAAAAGTAGTGGAAGAACCTTTTTGCTAATCAACTAATGTTTGCCATAATAAATGTTTGTGGTTTGGAAGGAAATTAATTTCTGCAAAGAACAAATCATCCCAATTTTCTCTTTGAGCAGCTGAGTATCAATAATCGAGAAAACCTAATATTTTCAAATCTGTTAGCTGTTGTAGACTTCGCAATAAAATTATATTTTTGGTGATCCACAAAGAAAGAGATACAAAGTGACCCATGCCATACATGCAGAGTTTGTTACAGGGTTGTAGCAAAATTATTCTTTCAGGTGGAGGACAGTCCTTAAAATCTGCAGAATTGAAAACCTGTAAACTTTAAATGCAACAAATCTTTTTGTTATGAAACTTCTTTTTCAGTCTTAAACAAGTTGAGAGTCCAAGAAACTGCCTCACAATAATGTAAAATATAATCTTGCCTCAATATGAAAGTGAGGTTAGGGTCCTCAACCCTCAACTTCCAATATCTCAATGAAATTTCTCTTTACTGTCTGAGATACATTTCTTATGAATACTGTTATGAGAATTTGGTGTTTGATCAAATGATAATCCCTTAGTTAATATTTTGTGTTATTCTCACCACTTTGCAGCCTGATATTGTATTGATACTGTAAGGAGACATTATGTCATGATCACTTCTGAGAGTAAAAGGGTAGAAGAGGTGCAATACTATTAGGCATGATAAAATACAGGACTAGATATGCATAAAAGAATGTCAACTGCTGTTTCACCCCTTTTTGAAGACTTGGCTTCACTACTGTAAATGAGTTATTGTTTTTTATATTTTACAACTTTATTTGTTCAACTTAATAAATCATGAAAATCAGTCAAAATAAAAGAGCAGGCAGAATTGAAATTCATCAAACATAAAAGCATTCTCTGGTTAAAAATGACAAACAATAAGGATTTTCTCCATACTGCTTCTATACATTTCCTAACGTGCTCAAAAGGAGAATTTGTTTGACAATCAAGAGCTTCCTTAGTTGGTGATTATTTCCTTTAATAACATGACCTCAATGTAGTAAAGAGAAATCAAATGCTAGTCACTTTAAGGAAATTTAAGGGTTAAGACATAAAACACAAAAGAGCATAACAGAAAATTTGTGTGACAAAATTAAGGTTGACAGAAAAACTTTAAAGCAGTGACCTAAGGAACAAGTAATGTAACTCAGAATAATAAAGTAATAATAATATTAATAATATATTGGTAATATTGAGGAGCTGTCACCTGCTTCATTAGAGTTAGCAGGGTGCACAGATTTAAATTTTTGTTAAATCAAAAGTTTACCTTGGAAATTACCCTAGCATTCTTACAGTCAATAGAGCAGTTTTTACACCAGACAAGCACCATTGGAGCCTTTTAAGCCTGAAAATTGGGTAATGGTGATAAACAAGGTACTTGGTAGTTTTATGAACAGGCTCTCCCAAGAGGATGTTTTGTTTGTTTTGCACTTTTTAATTTTCAACAAATCGTTTCACTGTATGAAATGGAAATATTAGCCTTGAAAACTGAAAAAAACATTGAAACAAGAACTCCACAATGACAAACCATTGAAAGCGTATCTTGCACTCTTTTATCGAATAGAATTTCACTGAATATGTAATTGAATTAAAATATATCGGCACGTGTTCTCAATTTCAAAACGATTCATTCAAACTAAAGGAACAGCACCAGCTTTTGTATTAAGGGCATCCCTTGTAATAAGTCAATACAAGAGTAACACAAATAGCCGAACGAGGAAACCACAGCTTTATTCTTTAAATTTAAACTATTCCATTGTTGAATTTTTCCGATTTATTCCTAAAAGGCAGACGGTTGTTTCAACCTTTAACAAGATCTTTATATAAATAGTATTTAGACAAGATGCGGGATCAAAACTTATTAATTTTAATTTAACCGTTCGAAAATTTCGCTCTTGATGTAAAACAATTTTTCCACGGAAAAGCCAGACAAAGTTTCACCATAAACAAAAAAAATATATATATATAATTATTATTGCCTTTGTGTTCCTTATTTGCCGCGTAAGTTCAGCCTTTATATAATCCTGAAAATAAACAAGCTCCTACATTGATTATTGTAGAGAAAGTTGCCATGCATATTGCATGTAAATAAACCAACCTGCAAGTGCAAAGGCCACATGAAAATTAAAAGCACATCCATCAAAACACAAAAATTAATTTGATACAATAGGTTTGCACAAGATGAATGGGTACACCGTTAAACCTAAGCTGCATTCATCGCTGCCGCTCTCACACGTGGAGATTTATCCATGCGTTTCAGTTCCGAGATCGAGACCTACCTTTAGTCTCGGACCTTGAAAGTAGACCTCGCAAAACTTCAAAATCAACACATAATCGCCGTTTTCCTTTATAGGAATATTGTATCCAAAGTTTGAAAAGTGATATCGTTCCGTTTGGTAGAGTATTTGATCTGCCGGGGCGACTCTTCCAATTGCTAACGATTTGCCAAAATCAGACGCGGTGCCCACGGTAAGTTTGTCAGCTTGGTAGTGAACTCCGTTCAGATCTGTATGCGCCGGCCCGCCGCTATTTACCGCATATACAACTTCTCCTGTGCTTGAAACCTCCCCACAAAGGATTCCCAAGAGAAGGGTGACAAAAACCTCAAACAGTAAAGTTTCCATCTTGCCTTTTATATCAAGTGAGGACTCCCTCAGGCTAAATATTAGTTCCCATAAAGATCCGCGTAAGTCAAAAGTGGTAGCGGGGTCTGGTAACCATTGATTCCAATTTGGTAGATCCCAGTTTCCTACCGTTTGCGAAAAGTTCTGCAGTTTCAGATATGTCTCGAGTGGGCAGAAGCCTCCATTTTCCCTTCTGTGATGGCCTCCGTTTTGAGATGTTCGCCTTCGCACCAGGTAAGTTCCACTTTCTATGCCTCTATCCTCAGTTCATTGGATCAGTGAAAAACCGAAAGTGATACTTGGCGAACCCGCTTTCTGTTCATTCTCAACTGTCAAATGCTCTTTATTTCCCCAGAAACGCGCCACGGACGAAAATTGTAACCAAGAAGTCCACAATAGTGGACATAGTGAACACATTCATAAGTGCCTAGTATGTGATTGCCGTCAATACATGAACGGTTTAATTACTGGGAGTTAAGATATAGATTATAGGAAAAGTCGATACGGAGAATGGAACCTTGTCTGTAAGAGAGTTAATGGGGTAACTGAGGGTGGCAGAACGTTCTCAGTAAGTTGGGCAAAACTTTGGAATTCGTTTCCAACCAGTGTTAAAGACAAAATTAAGGTGTCAAATTCAAATTCAGATCTACGTAGATTCCTGGATGACTACTTTTTCCATTTGAATGAGGAAATTCGTCATTTTAAGGTAAATTGCCATTTTATTTTTTACTTCTTTGAATTGTTTTCCATTTTTCTCTTTCTGTATCTTTATCAAGGTTATATCCTATTACTCTTAGTGCAAATATATATATATATATATATATTATATTAAAGTTCACACGGCAACCAGGTGGACAATCAGACGTGGTTTGATGCTACTCTGGTTTACAGATTAATGAATGTAACCGAAGAAGTTACAATTCATAGACCCAACGTTTCGACACTCCTATCTAGTGCCTTCATCAGGGGTGATCTAAACGCTGCAACAAGAGGTCCTTTTATATGATCACTAATTAGCGGTCCTTTTTCTGACGAAGTGTAAATAGGCGTCAGGAAGCAAACCGCCATCGTCACGATTTAAAGGAGCGTGGGCGGAGTTAATATGCCAAGCCTCCAAACAAAGGCGCTGGTGGTAACGTCGATTAGTGGTGATAATTTTAGAATAATCCCACCCAATTGTATGGTTCAGTTAGGCATATGTGCTCCGATAAAGCAGAATTTTCCTTTTTACAAAAGAAAACCGCTTTTTGATGCTCTTTAAAACGTGTACCAAACTGACGTTTGATCTGTCCGATGTATTCGTTGTCACAGTCATTGCAAGGAATAGAATAAATGGCGTCGGTTCGTTGTTCTTTCGTAACAGGATCCTTAGGTTTGGCGAAAATATGCCCCAAAGTCTGAAAAGGTTTTTGAGCAACTTTAACGTTGTGGTTATTCAAAATTCTCTTGATGGGTTCCGTAACACCCTGAATGTAACGAATAACAGCAAAACCAGTCACTGGTTCCCTTTCATCAAGAGCGTTACTAGTTGTAACTGGTTTTTGGAAGTTACGGAGAAAGATTTTTGTATAGCCATTTGCCTTTGGGACATTAGAAACATATTTCCTCTCCTCAGCCTTCGAATAGAGTGAAGATGGTAGACAGTCAGCCCTCCTAAGTAAAGGTTTGGCTACAGACTTCTTATGGCAAATAGGGTGGTGAGAATCGAAAGCGAGGTATTTGTCGGTGTGGGTAGGTTTACGGTAGACACTTGTCTCTAAATTACCCTGAACCCCTCTGGACACATTTAAATCAAGAGAGGGCAAATGTCTAGCCTTTTCACGCTCAAGGGTGAATTGGATCGACGGCTCTACTGAATTCAAATGCGACAGAAGGCGCTCCGCTTCATTTACATTAGATAAATGAATAATATATTATATAACTCCACCCACGCTCCTTTACATTGTGACGATGGCGGTTTGCTTCCTGACGCCTATTTACACTTCGTCAGAAAAAAGACCGCTAATTAGTGATCGTGTGAAAGGACCTCTTGTTGCAGCGTTTAGATCACCCCTGATGAAGGCACTAGACAGGAGTGTCGAAACGTTGGGTCTATGAATTGTAACTTCTTCGGTTACATTCATTATATGTATGTATATATATATATAGGATATTTTTAGTATATACATAGGACATATTTGATGTAGGAGGGCCACAAGTTTATCAGTATTGTAACTGTTTCGTCCTTCCCCTTGATAAATAAAGTTGGATTGATTGATTGATTGAATAGTCTTTCACCACTAAGTCGTTTCGCTACAAATCGAGGTCATTTCGCCAAAAATCCCAATTCGTTTGGTTAAGGATCATAAGCTGGCCGTTTATTATGCAACTTCCTAGTAAACAACGACACATGTAAAAATTATCACTGTTTTTCCCTTCCCTTTACGCCTTAGTTGCTTGAATATAAAACGCAGATGTGAGAAGTTCATCGATAACTTGGCTGGAGAAAATTATAAATCAATAATATTTATTACCATTTGATGCAAACCTATGTTGAGACAATTTCGAGACATAAACGCAAAGGTTGTGACATTTATAACTCACCCAGCAGTTTCATTATTGCACGACGCAGCGGTGATATGGCCACAGCAAATTGAAGGGGGCCAATCAGAATTCGACATAAACACACGCAAACTGCTTGAAGGGCGGGAAAACCGGGAAGACTTCAACGCCATTGGTTTTAATTAACCATCCGACTGGTTGAGGGGTGGCACGAATTTTCTAGACCAATCACAGGGGAACATAAAATAGAACCATTTCAAGTCATTCACTCAACTGACAATTGCTCTGTTCACAACACTTTTAGTCATAGAAATATCTGTAAACATTTACAATTTCCAGATGGTCATCTTTTGAAAAATTATACGGATCTGAGACGTGGACTCTGAGTGCGCGGCTTCAAACACTGCACATCCGTGTAGAATTGCTGTATCAGTTGCCTTTTGGCAAACAGACAAAGGTGCGAAATAGACATCATGAATTTAATCGAAAAAATGAGGAGTTTAGAGAATAAAGTTTAATTAAATCACAGAAAAAAAGTTACAAAAACCCAGTTTAAGATTCGTGTATTCATGTAAATTAACAACGATAACAGCAACAAAAATCGCTCTAATAGCGAGCGATGCAAACTAACTAAAACACCGATTTTATGGTTACTGACGCATTACTACAACGAAGGACCATCTTCCCTCGCGTGCACCTCTCGTGCGCTTCCTATGGGACTGTTTAAATAGAGAAACAACTAGGTAGAGTCCTACTGCCTTACTGCACTCAAAAACGGTATGACAAACACAGCGGTCAAATGTGCGGCATGTGCAAAAGGATTAATTTTACCCAGCAGTGTGACGAGTTCCCGCGCAAAATTTTAAAGGAAAACATAAGAACCAGTTGCTTTCATGACAAATATGCAAAAAAGAAAAAGAAAAACATTGATACGTCCAGGTAACTATATGAAAGGAAACAGAAGTGAAGAAAAGGAAAGCTAGTTACTTTTCGTACACGTAACTTATGTAATTACGAATTTTCAGCTGATGTACCATTTTATTGCTAGGTTTTACCAGAAAAGCCATACGGCATTTAAACACCGCGACTCACTCGCTTGTGTGGTTGTTTATAAGACAACTTGGTTCTGACAACCTAGATGTACGCCACCTAGCCTCTGCGCACATGCGGTCATTTGACCGTTGTGTTGGTATGACCTAAAAAAATTATTGAAAATAAAGGAAAATGTAGCGACTTCATCCTCCGTTCATATCCACTTATACTGAGCTAAAAAAGCAAGACTGAAATAAGAAGCGCTACAGCCACGGACAAGATGCTGGCTCCTTTCAAAATCCCTGGAGCTTCGGATTTCGTTTCGACCGGGCAGTTCACCTCTTCTTCGTACTCGTTCCATCCAGGGGTGGCTATATTTATTAACACACTATTCGGGTCATCTATTGCGCATCTCTTATGCCCACCCACCCAGCCTAATGGTCGCTTTAGGTTCAGATTGCGGTCTTCAAGGTACTGGCACCACCTGCAACGTATCCAAGAGTTCTGCTTTTGTTAATATCGGACCAAGATATGCGCAAATGTGTGTTTGTAAAAACAACAACAACAACAATAATGCAAACTCAGCCCTGAGGGCCTTCTTAGTCCTTTCCCGGGGCCACACGAAAGCCTTAAAATAGGAAGAGTGACTATGATGAATGCGAGCGCTAGCGATTTCTGCTGACACCTCATTCTTATCTCTTAGCATTACTAAGTACCCTCCACAACATTTCAAGTAACTATAGTACTCGGTTACTATGAAAAAAATTGCCCAGAGGTAAAGAAGAATGTTAGGCTCGATTACCAGCCGCTGTTCGGGAAACGAGTCCGCGCTCAATTCCCGAAATCACAGCCGTTCCTTCGTGAGAGGATCGAAGATCGGACTCGTGAAAACGGCGGAAATCGATCCTAGAGATATGTAAGCCGGCTACAAGAGCTCAGTTAACCGATCAGAACTCAGGATTCTTTTCTTTTTTGCATCTTTGCAAAGCGAACCGAATGATACTGTAAATATCTCACCTGTCCACTTCGGTGGATGTGTTGAAATTAAACGTATATGACAGGCCATGTCCATCAAATTCTTCCAGCAAGTGCGGAATGAAAGAAGCTGGGTTATTGGTTATGTTTCTAGGATGGAATGGACGAAACTCCACAGTGCCTTTAGCAGCGGTCAGCTTTATCACCCAATCGATCTGGTCCACCCCGCTCGTCACCGTCATGTTAAGGTTTTTACTGTACCAGTTTTGTAAATCAGACAGTTTGAGAGAGGTATAATAGAATACCATGCTGCTAACGCCTGTTGAAAGATGAGAAGGAAGACCGTCACTTACAAAGCGTATTTTGCCTTCACTACACAACCGAACACACTCAAAGGTTGAGGCATGGGCGCGTTGGTCAGCTAGGCCCAAGATATATTTTAATTGTGACAATGAGTTTACAACAAAGTGGATAAGAGATACATCAAGTAACGTCCTACATGCGCCAAAGCCGGACACGTAAACCCCAAAAACCTCTTGTTAGGAAAATAGGGACCGTGTACCCCCGACCAACTGCAGTGGCGCCACCTTTGGGGTTTTAAGGTTGATCTATAAACAATGAAGAGAATGAAGAAAACAAATCATATCAGGCTAATTACACAATAAAAATAAACCTTATGGGAAAGTGCTAGTGGCAAGGCTGACCGTAGAATGCCACAAGTTTCTCAACGGTCTCTTCTTACAAACGTACTACCCATGAGCCTTCGCGTACTACGCTCGCACCCAGTTCTCTGTTCCGTGTCGGCAAAATATTAATTTGTGTCAATACCGATTATCACAAATTACATTTTTCGAGTGTTGTATAACCAAACGCTAAATGATTACAACGGCTAATTAAAATGCTATTCAGGGAGCCACTGGGAGCTTCAAGTTTACCCTTTACACTCTAAAATCAGTATGCATATTCTCCATACTGCTCTTTATACATTTCCTAAGGTGCTGATAAGGAGAATTTGTTTATCAATCAAAGGCTTCTTTCGTTGGTGATCATTTCCTTTATTCTCATGACATTAGCGTGTGATTCAGTGGTGATATTGTAGGGAGAAGTTTGATGCTGGTCACTCTTAGCGTTTTAAGGGTTAACACTTACTAAATGCCTCGACCGCCTTAAAAAGTGAGTAAGCAATATATGTTCAATTTGAGTTGGTGATCATTTCTTTTATTCTCGTTACCTTAATGTTTGATTCAGGGGTGATATTGTGAGGAGAGATTAGTCACTCTTGGGGTTTTAAGGGTTAGACGTAGGCAAAGCTTTCTGCGCACTCGCAAACAAAGATAGACACTATTGCAATACGTTTGCATCGATACACAATGGTGGGTCTTTTCGAAACGTGCGTTTACTTTTTTTTTTACTTCACTTACGATTGAACGGGAGGTTTAAAGGCAGAAAAATATACGTTTATGAACGTAAACGCACACCTGTGGATATACTTTAACTGAAAGCGGAAAGCCAATAACATGCGAATTTCTAGACCAATTTCATGGCGTCGTGAGCCAGCCCAATGTAATCCAGACTAATTTAAACAACAATAGCTCTTTTCAGAGAATAGAAATCAGTTGCACTTAAATTCAAAGTCGATATCTTCATCCTTCTAATTGTTGCACTTTTTTACGCTTATCAACCTACATGATTAATCTAAATTGAAATGAGGGTAATTAAGTTTTATCAACTGAGTTAATGACGTAAATTGGCCTCCGTAAATAGTTTTAACGCAGCCGTTTCGAGCGTTAGCCCTTCTTCAGAGCGAATTGGTGGAAATCAAACGCCTTGTAGCCCTAAATTGCACACACGAACGCAAATACGTTACAGCATTGAATCTCCAACTTCTCTCTCCACAATAACAACAGTTGGTAATGCAAACTCTACCCTGAAGGTCCTTTTAGTCCTTAAATAATATAGGTAGACTTCATTATAACAAAATGAAAATTTTTCTCGTGTTTGTGCTTCTCGTTGATCCATTTAATTTGTTTAATTTTTTGTTTGTTTGTCTCTTTTTTTGTCTTTTTTTTTTTGTCCCATCTGTGTGCTTGTTCTCGTTCTTTTTTCTGTTTTTCTTTTTTCCAGTTTTGTAATTTAGGCCCTTTTTTCATTTTAAATGCAAACGAAAACGCTATAGACTTAAGCTGCTCAAACTTCTCCTGCAAAGCGTGGCAGTCTCGAGAGAAATCTTTTCATTAGCTTTGTGTTTTACTAAAGGCAGAGTTCCCCCTAAGTAATATTTTACCTTTTGGTTCAGCTGGAGTGTCATTCCAATGAGCTAGGTTCAGCGGTATCCCGTTTGGATCAATGACGTAACAATGACGTTCAAACCAAGTCTCAGTTTTTATTGGCATGGCCAGCGGATATCCAGACTTGTTGAACTCCTCACAAGCTGCATCCACATCTCCCAGATTATAAGTAAGAAACATGCCTTTCCCAGGAAAATTCCTAGCCAACTGAGGTCTGGCGCATGCGTGTTCTGCACCCTCCACGACGAAATCAAGAAAGGCAACACCTATTAAAAAGTCGGAAGGACAAATCAAGTTAACTTGAACGAGGTGTCAACTCGGCTTCTGTTGTGAGAACTACTCAAGGTTTACGCATAAAAACGCGGATTACGCATAATCAGCCTGAAAAGTACCAACAACAAAGCAAGCTAGAGACTGTTTTTGATCTATATACCTTCAAAATTACGGTCGTACAAATAGAGTACTTTTCGATTAAGTGTCGTAAAACCAAAAACCAAAGTTATCACAACGGCCAATCTGAATGTAGAAAAATGCCTTTATTTAAGAGCCAATGAGAACTAAAAGTAAAAGCCATCAAACTGCACAAAGCGCGGGAAAACGCGAGTGACCAAGTCGTGATCGGTTTTACTTTTGCATCTGATTGGTTTGAAAAGTAGCATGAGTTTTCTCGACCAATCACAAAGCACAGTTAAGTATAATCAAAGTAATCCCTTTCACTTTCGACAGGCCATTGAAATTGCATAATAGACATTACTATGTTAAAGCTTTCGATATGAACTTCATGTTACAGAACCATCTTCAATATCAAATTATTTCCAAGGGCCACCTTCGATGGCAATGATACAACTGCAATGTACCGTAAACAAAAGTAGAGATAAATCAGTCCAATTTTAGATCACAGTTGAATGTTGGACATTCATTTTCGGTTAAAAATTTTGAACATAACTTCTGTTAAAAAATATTTTGACAATTGGCTTTTACGTTCATTGCTCCTTGGCTCTTCTATACACGTTTCAATCTTGTATTTTCGTGGTACTGAATGACTTGCTGTTCAGTTTGTTCAGTTACTCTGAAAAATTTCCATCAAATGAGTTCTTCACGATAAGCCACGGAATCGTGTCCTCATCCCATCAGGATTTTAATCATAGGTTCAGTCATTTTGAGGTTTAGAAGAGTTACTTTTGTTTGCAGAACTTTTTATTATTTTGAATTTATAACTCCCTGAAAGCTGAGAGAAGGAAAAATCGAACCACATTTTAACTGAAATTTTTCATGTTCAGACATTGATATAGTGGCTCGATTCCTTCATGTTACTCCATGATGTTTCATTTTGGCGTTTTCTTCTGCGCGAATTAATCTTTCTAGGTGGTTGCCAATTCTAATTATAACATAGCTAGCAGAGCCGCACAATCGAATTCAGTATACGTAAGCGAGCTCAAAGTGCCGATAGTGCACGCTGATAGCGTGAGCAAATCGCTTCGCCAGAAATTTTTTTTTTCGCGCGAGCGGCCATTGTTAGCGCGGGGAAAAATAATTTATTTCGCGACAATAATGGATACAAACAGAAACTCAGCTCCCCAGTCCCAAAACGAAGACAATTTTCCGACCTTTTCCCTTGGAGCACGTGGGAAGTCCAAACTTCCCACGTGCTCCATAACTCGATAGTGCACGCTAAAGCATGAACCAATTGTTAATTTGAGTCCATTTCGATTGAGTTTCGCAAAATCAAGAAAAACAAGTCACAACAGCTGTTAGAACAAAAGAAAAAATTAGCCCATTTTGATCGATTTCCGCAAAACCAGACAAAACAAGTTACAACAGCTGGTCAGAAAAAAAGAAACTGTCTTGAAAACTCGCTTCATAGACTGCTTGTCACTTCTTTTGTTTCTACAAAAACGTGTGCAAAGCATAACAAGTCACCTGGCCCGGGTAGGAGCGAGAGAAATCCTGACGTTTCCTTCATAACTTTAAATTTCAAGTACTTTGTGTAGAACTCTTTGGTTTCCTTCAGTTTGCTTGTGCTCACTGTTATATCCACATTGACGAGACCTGTAAGAGGAGATTATTTAATTAGCCCAAATCATATGTAGGTTCAAATTGATTTGCAGTCAGACTATAAACAGCATTTATTTGTGGGATTCTAGAACAGAGTTGAAGGTTTTTTTTTTTAACGATTTTAGAGAGTTATCTCTATTTTTACCTTGATGAAAGCAGTTCAGATAGACAAAAGAAGAATTCGAAGGATTTAGGTAGTTTAAGGGGGGAATCGAGTCTACGAGCAAATGATTACCCTACAGGATGCGTAACACAATGCACCATAGAAACTACTCTGACATTTAAGTGACGGGCGGATGATCTTTCGGAAATTAAAATAATCCTGATAGAATATCATCCTATGATTGGCTAGTTGAAGGTAGAAAAGCACTCGGGCGAGACATCGATCAGACTATGGAGGGCGTGCCGTCATTCAGTGCATGATCAATCTCGACTTCGTTAACATTTGAGGTTTGGTTTGAAACGACTTCGGGAAAGGATAAAATATGATTCCAATTTTTCATCATGATTCAATCCTCGTAGAGTGTATAGCCGATAATAAAAACAGTTTCATTAATTCCCATCTTGCCCGCTCCAGACTGCCCGCTTTGATCCCCGTAAGAACAAAAATATTGCATGACGTGGAGGCTTGAAACAAACAAACAAACGAGACATTATAAATTCTTTGTTGACTAAGCTTGTTCGGTCAAGATTGCTGGATATTAGCCTAGTCCTTTTTCGCGTTTTATGGGCCTATTTCTCGGCTCAAGTCCGAACTCTTTACGATGGTTGACTACATTTTCAATCAGTTGATAAACCACTGAAATTATCTTGCTATACCCTCAACCTCTGCAGCACCACACTTTCTCATAAACTCACCCCCTTTTCTCTTTCTTTTCGATGTTGCGTTGGTTGCTATTTTTATTCTAGTACTTTTCATTCTTCCATGATGGAAGTGGTTTTGCTAAACAGCCCTGTTTTGCCGATGATTTCCACAAGGCGGCTTAATTCATGCTCAGTCGACAACTTTCGTCATCAGTGAGTCAGCATTTCTGTGTGCTTCAGGAAAGAGGTTGGTAAAATTTTCGCACAGCCCCATACTACTACTGTAAAACAAATCTGTATTCCCAAGGGCAATCATTGTTTTTGTCACCGTTTTCTCTATCCAAGAACTGAATGCATAATATAGTATAGGGCTGTGCGAAAATTTTACTCAGAGTTTTAGAACAATAGTATAAACGGCCATGTGCTGAGTTTAAATAATGCACATGGCGATAGTCACGAGACATTTTCCTCCTAAACTTATAGATAATTGAGTGGAATACAACGCGAGAGAAAATATAACATCGACTTTTTCATATTGAATTGATGCGAGTCAGCATCTCGGTGTTCTTCAGTAAAGACTTTCGAGACAATAATTTAGACAGCCACGTGCTGAGTGATAATGTAGAACTATAAGGCGGCAGCTACGAGACATTTTCCTTCTGAACTTATAAGAAATTGAGTGGGATACTACGCGAGAGAAAAAAATAACAACGACTTTTTCAAATTGAGATGATATGCTCATGGTTCTGAAAGGGTCGGTTTCGACGATTGATCATAATCGGCTGTGCTGATGTAGATATTTCACGTAGCTTAAGAACCTTGCTAAATGTAGCGGCTGTCTCAGTTTTTACGTCAGGATTCGTCTACTAATGTAAAATCTCGCAACAGAGGATGCAGTAATCAAAAAATCATTCGGAACACTCTTGGTTTGAAATGTGTTAAAACTTTGGAAAGAAATCATGTTGTAAAGCACTATTGTCTGAACCTACCTTCAGTCCTCGCCTCTGTTTCTACTGCAATGTTAAATAAAGCCACAAGGAGAGACCACAGAACAGTTTTAAGCATCTTTTTCGCTTCCTCAACTAATTCCACCTAAAAAACTCTTTTTAAGTTGAACAACTCCCTTGTTGACTGATTTTTCGCGGAAGATAACAATCACATTTAACACGGTGCCTGCGTTTGAAAGCTGTTTTGACCATACATAGCTAAAACACTTAACATTGTCTTAATTGTTTCCCATTGAAGACAATAGGTTGTTTTTCTCAGAAACTCCAAGGTTTCCCGGAAAGACCCAGAGGTGGGGTGGGTTGGGTTGGGGGGGGGGAGAAAGGGTAAGGAGTATAGGGGTCCTGGTCATAAATTTACAGAAGCAAATGGCTCTGCTTTTTTTTCTTTTTTAATATTTATCATTTTGGAACTTTTTTTTTTCGCCTTTGAAGCAGTAGTGCTTCGGGCTATAAATTGGTGCTGCCAAGGCGTTGAGTCGGTGAAAAAAGTTCTCTAAGGCTGTGGACTAAAAACCGTGTATGTTTTAAAATTTAATCTGTGCTCTAAAAAGAGAAGGGATGTGCCCGGTTAAGATTACAAATCAGCGTTTTCAAAAATCAAACCATAGCTTTCTCTCCCTGATTACAAAAAAGATTTTACAAAAAAAAAGAAAAAAGAATTTACAGTATCAGAGACTCCAGGAATGTTCCGGAGAACATAACCGTCAGTTTGCAAAGTTTTTGTTTCTTCCTTTTCCTCGTTCCCAATCCCTTCTTGTATGAATGAGAGATTGCAAAACGATCGCCTCACTCCTCAACTTCCAGTTTCTGTTGTTCGCATTACAGCGTTGTTGTTCATGTTTAGATGTATTTGGGTCGTGTTAAATATTTGTATCGGTGATAAGACAATATTTGTGAATCGAGCTTACGTATTGGCCGGGGTCAGATTTCCAGCTCGTGCATGAAATTACCGATGTTATGTAAAAATACGGACATGTGACCACAATCATCTGGAAATGGCGGACGAGGAAACAGATCTTGCAAATGGAGAGGGTTCATCCACCAATGAGCAGTCCAGTCTGCTTCCTGAGGAAACATCAAGTGTTGGCAAAGTCGTCTCATCGCCTATTCCCGGATTTCCACCTTTTTTCCAATTCGCAAAACTGCAAACCGAAGCAAGTGGATGGAATTCTGATGTGACAACAGCAACTGAGTTCACGAGGTGCAGTGATGCAATGACAGACACAGCATCATTCGTGGATAACGCAGGGGTCAGCCACGATAACGCAGTTGATTCGTCACTGTCAGGTAGTGCTGCAGCTGAATCAACGCCTGTCGATGGAGTTGACGTGATTGAAAATATGGAAAAACGCGAAAATGTACTCGAGCAGGAAGATGGCGAAGTGGACCACGAGGGTCTAGACAAAGAAGATGAGGATGGCGCAATAAACGATGAGCCAGACGAAGAAGAGGCAGAATCGGATCCTTATTTTTACACTAAGCGAGATGAATTTACCTCCGAGATTTATAAGATAGAACTTCAAAATCTTCCCAAAAAATGTGGTTATAAGGTAAGTTACTTTCTTATCTCTTACCTATCAACCTGATTAAGGTCTCTTAAGCATGCAAATGATAACGAACTGTCTAAGGCTTCAATCAGCATTTCATAGTTTGAAACCAGGTACATGAAGGAGTTTCGTGTTGATCAAGCAACATGGATTAAACGTAACGTTGAATTAAAGGAATAATAATATAGGGAAAAGGTTTATGACCAAGAAAGTTAATCTTCCTTACGATAGAATGCAGCGTGGGATATGAAATCTTTTGTTTTGTTTTTTTTTTTGGTTGTTGTTGTTTTTTTGTGGTTGTTGTTGTTGTTTTTTTGCCTGCAAGTGTACAGTTGAGTAATGTAACTAAGTAACGTAACCACAGGCTAACCATCCAGTCTTAACACCCTAGCATATCCTAAGGGTATGAATTCTGCCCTTACTGTTCTAGAACAAAGTGTTAGTCCCGACGGCAATCTATTGTTTTCACTATTGACTCCTAGTTAATATGCACACTTAAGTATGGGGCTGTCTAGAAATCATTCTTATCCTTAAGTGTTATTGTGAAAATTTCATTGTGAGACAATAGAGCTCCTTACACTGAATATTCCTCTATGTAAAAAGGTTTCGTATTAGTACATGATCTTGTGAGATTTTTCAAACAAATTTAAGGTTTAGGAGTTTTGTGCTTAAATTGATGCAGCTTTCTCAAGGTAAGAACAATCTTTACTTATTTTAAGACAAAAAGATAAGTCCTTATCCTCTGACTGTTTCTATGAAATTTTTTAGGATAAGTTTTGCCACCTACTAAAATGCCTTTGGAAAACCCTGCATTTTCCAGAGAAGACAGTGAAATACATTGGTTGCTGACTTATTTTAACAACCCTGGACTGATCCAACACATAGACTTCCTCAGCTTGTCTGTTTTGTTTACCCATTTCAGGTATCAAGGAAATTCCCAGTGTTATCTTTTGTAACTTGCACAAACATATGCAATGGAATAAGAGGAAATTTAAAAGGAACAGTTCTCTAAAGTATTATCACATGACTTGAAATGGGTAAAAAAAAACCATACAAGCTATAGAGGTTTATAGATTTTCAGTTTTTTTAATCAAACAAACCTGTGCTGTGGTATTAAAAAAATATCCAAGTATTTCCAAATTGTGGATGAGTCATTTCCAAGATATTTGCTCATCTTGCAATCAGTTTCTGATCGGTTAAAACTCTAACCAGCAAAGAAATAACCTTTACCTGTTGAGCTCAAAACAGAGCTTGGAAACTATGCTGCGATTCAGATCATACTTCAGCTTTTCATATATGTGTTGACAAAAGAAACCAACTTTCTCAATCCTTTTAATTATTCAAACACAGTGATAAGAACAGTATGAAATTTAATACAGCAGCTGCCCATTTCAACCATCCAGCTTCAACCTGTCTGTAAAAGATTCAGAAGTTTATTTTTGATTTATAACTGATTACTTTATACTGTTTTTGTGTCACTCTTGTATTCCCCAGCAATTCAAGAAGATGATTGCAAACAGACTCAATGTAAGACCAGTAAAAGTTAAACTACCCCCAGGAGCAAATCATGCCTACGTCACCTTCAGGTACAGTGCATGGCAGCTGCTTAATATTTGAAATTGTAAGATATGTTGCTGCTTGGAAATATGTACATGAAAGGCATATAAATTTAGGCATAAGTGCTAAAATATTTAACCTTAATGCATATGAACTGAGCATATATGCTCATAAGCATGTATGTGACTGTGAGCTACATGTAGAAGTGTTTGTTTCAATCACCCCTCAAGCCAGTCTTCCCAAAACAGTCGAGCCTTGATTATACAGACTTGTTGGGACCTTGGTTAATAGTCCGGATAATTGAAAATATAAATATTAATGAGATAGAAATGTAAACAAAAGGTATACAGCAAAGAGAACATCATTTTTTAGTTGTGAAATCTACACAGCCTGTATGTATTTACAAATAAAAACTTTCAGTTCAGGTATTTACAAAGGTCTTAAATGTTCAAGCATGTTTGTTTGCTTCAAAGACTTATAGCTTGATCGCATTACAAAGTCCATCATTCATCTTAGCTGCATTAACTGCAAAAAGTCAATATCATTCTGTGATTCCATCCATGACAAGCATTTTTTGAAACATTGCGCAGCCTCTTCAGTCAATACTGGTTTCTCGTCCTCACCTTCACCTTTCTCATCGCTACATACACTTTGGCTTTCCGTCAAATCTCTGACAACAGTGGCTAAAATCTCTTCATCAGACATTTGTGGCGAAGTCAGGAGCTCATTTTCCAGATTAAGCCAGTCTTCCACATTGCAAGCATTAGGCATTTCCTCATTGTCAAGTTGCTGTACATGTTCCAACATTTCGACCATGGACTCAGAGATATTATCCTCTCTGAATTTGGGCTGTGAAGTTGACTCACTGTTGTCTTGTCACACTTTCAAATTTTTAAAAGTGCACAGGATAATACACTGTTTCAACAGTCTTTTGAAAGGATTATTGGGCTTTTTGCGACCTTGAGTTTTCAAGATCACAACTAATTAATATTCATGAAAAAATTGGGACCACAGAAAAAAGCCCGGATAATCAAATAGTCCGGATAATCGAGGTCCAGATAATCGAGGTTCGACTGTACACTGTTACATACATATGCGACTTTGTACTAGGTATATACAATCATTGAACAATATGCTTTTAAAATTTGTATTTGCAGTTAACAAGCATCTAAGTGGTATGATACTTTTGAAAACATTTCTTGTGTTGTTTAAATTGTACGGGATGTGCAAACCCCTACTTAAACCTAATGCATGATAAAGTGAAGACATGCCCAATTAAAATTAATATAATCTAAGTAGTACATGATCAAATTTTCTTACATTTACTTTTCATATTCCTCTTAGGAATGAAGAGGAAAGGAGGGTAAGTTGAATCAGAATTTCTTTGAGATCAAAAAGGTAGAGACTATGGCAAATTAAACAATTGGTTCATATGTCAGCATGCGTTTATTGAGATATGAAGCACACGGGAAGTTTGGAGAGCATGAAAGATGCGTAAGAGTTGCGCAAGGCATAGCCGAGAGCAACTCTAGCTTCTTGAGTTCTCTCCAAACTTCCCATGTGCTTCATATCTTGATGAACACACAGATGATGTATAAAACAATATTGTTTTATACCATTTTCAACTCGATGGGAATTTTTTTTTCTCGAGGGATTTGTTTGCTGACATCATGAGCATGCATAATAGGAATATGAAGCATGCTCGCGTAATTGAATGTGATTAGACAAATTTACTAGCTATGTTATAATACAGGTTAGGGCATGGGTAGTTGTTTCCAAAAATTTTTTTATATTCATCACTTCTTTGTAAGATGAATAAATAACCACTTGAGTTAAGAAATGGTGCCTTATTATATCAAAGTACTTAGTTGATTGAGGATCCTCAATTCTAAGGTTCAGATCCATACCAAGGTATCATGGCTCTATTGCATTGCTGAGATCAACAGATAGTTATAAAAAACAATTTTTTTATTGTGTTATGAAGAAAATATTTACTCTTGCTTGATCATAGCTGGCCATCAGATCATTATCAGGACACAAGTGGAAGGGGAGAGTGCTTTCTGCTAAGGTATTAGACAGTAATATTGTTGCCCTGACATGCTGCATCTATTATGCTAAAAAAAAACTAAACAAATCCTTATAACTGCAAGCTTCCCACAGCTGAATGTATTAAGGCCAGTGACTGAGTGTCGTTTCTGTTTAATTTCAAGGCTCCAAGCTAATTTTTATCAGAATTGCTGCTTAGCTTTCAAAAAAAAAGGAATTTAAAGGACTCTTGGCACAATAATGCTTGACATATTGTACAGCTTACTACATAACATATCTTTGGAATGATTAACTGGGCCTGGAATCAAAATAATGCAATAAAAAATTGTAAACATGCTTTTGTTTTCCTGTAGGCATTTTGGCCAGTAAGACTAGAAAAAGGTTTGCTTGATCAAAGGCTCTAATAGTGTGTATGTTGATAAATCATAATTATTTTTTTAGCCAGCCCAGCCACTTCCTGATCCTCTAGCTTTGCAGCGAGCAGAAGGATTGGCAAGAAAAAGGATGATTCAGGGTAAGAACTAGACAAATGCTACTGCTCTTTTTTTTCTCTGCTTGTGGCATACTGCTGAAGTCTAAGCTTATTCCTTTAGCCCCCTAATACAGAATTAAGTGTTTAGTTTGCTCTAAGTTTGGATGAACATATTTTGTTTTGAAATTTTTAGTTATTGGTTTTGCATAATAGTTGGTCATAATACTTGATTAACATAAATTTAGGCTTGGAATAAGTTTCTGGCTTCAAACCAGACACTATCAAACTACTGTATTGTGAAAATTTCTTCCAACTCTTGACCTTTACCAAGAAATGTTTTTTTGGTAGTAATTAAATTTTGATTCAGTAGCTAAAAGAAGTCCTTTCTCCCAAGGCAAGTTACATTTTGTGTAATGTTTGTTTCTTGAAAATGCTTTAGATGCAGCGCGTTCAAACGTAGATGCCAAGAGAATAAAAGTTGATGAAGATGAAGGAGAAGAGCTAGCCATTTCTGTCAGGTGAGAATCAAAGTTTTCTTTATCTACCTCATGCTTGGTTAACCCATTAACTCCCAGAAGTGATTTCCTCGTAACTTATCCCTGTAATATCTGTACATTATCCAGCCAAAAGGTAATAAGAATACTCAGACTTATCAGAAAGATTAGTTGTTATCTTGATCTAACACCAAATTCTCATAACTTATTTAAAAGAAAATGTGTACCAGTTAGAGGGGAGAATTAACAATCAGATCTTGGGAGTTAAAGAGTAAAGAAAGAGGGGAAGGAGATACAGTCATTTTGAAATGAAAACACCATCTGTTCTGCAGAAAGAAAGTATTGCTGGCTAACAGGTTTTAGCCAAGTCACGTGTTAGACATTTTACCTAAATAAACATCAAGTTTCCAGATGTGTTGGGTATTCTGGGCCAGTGAATATTTATATTTTGATTCTTTTATGTGGTACTTGTATGAGTTAATGTAGTAGATCATGGATTTTGTGAACTTTTGAAGTAAACAGCTGCCAGGTAGGCAGGTAATAGAAGTTCAACTTTCACTGTATGGCTATTAAATTCAGTGAAAGTAATCAGCAATTTTGATTGACATGTATGGCAAATTTCGTTGGCTGTGGGCTGTTACTGAAACTCTTGGTGTATTGTAAAGATTACTCCCCTTAGAGGTCATCATCTCAGCAATTTTTAAAATCGGTTTGGCTAGCACGTATTAACAACAGTCCTGTCTTTGTTATCCAGGTTAAACCATGTTGTGACTCCTTTGTGGGATCAGCCATACAGCAAGCAAATGGAAGTAAGTACAACTTATAACTGCTCAAGGTGAATTTATCTGTCTACTCTGACACGTCCAAGACTGTCTTGACATTGGCAAGTGTTCCCCAAATTGTTTATTATGGTGTCATACCACTCATGAAGTATTTTTCCACAATCATTTGACAACTTTTATTTTTTAAATTGTAACTAGTGAATGTGCAGCTGGGAATCCTTCTGTATTTGAGTGCCAGACTGCTATCATCTTGAATTTGCTAATGGTACTTTGAGTGCGATGCTCAATGAGTTTCTAGAAATTTTGGAAAAGTATCTGATAAGTCTCTTGGCCAAGATGAAACACTGCGTTATACCAGTTATATACTAAGTATTTTTTCACAAATATGATGTTGTTGATGGACAAATGTGATAAGTTTTTCTTCTACAAGTCCCCTTTTTTTAGCTCTCAATGCTTTAATATCAGTGTGCATATTCTCCTCTCTGTTCTACCTACATTTTCTATGGTTCTGACAAGGAAAATTTGTGCAGTAATCGCGAGCCACTTTTGTTGGTGATCATTTTCCTTAATTCTCGTGACTCATACATTTGATTTAGCAGTGATACTGTAAGGAGAAATTAGATGCTAGTCACTCTGTGGAGTTAACCCTTTAACTCCCAAGATCTGATTGTTAATTCTCCCTTGTAGCTGCTACACATTTCCTTGTAAATTAGTTATGAGAACTTGGTGCTAGATTAAGATAGCAGCTTCTACCTGATAAGTTTGAATGTTCTCATTACCTGTTTGCTGAATAATGTATGGATATTGTAGGGAGAAGTTTTATGTCAATCACTTCTGGGAGTTAAAGGGTTAAAGGGTTAAACCTGAAATACCAGTTTATAAACTAGGATGGAATTTGTAACATAATATATTTACCTTGACACAGGAATTTTCCTCTAGTTAAAAAACTCCAGAATTTTTCCTAATCCTGTGCATACAAAGAAAACCAGCTTGTCTTTGTACACTTTGACAGTTCCACTCTATTTGTTTGTTTGCAGACTAAGAGGAGTAACATGCTGGAGATTTTGGGGAAACTCACTAGAAAGTTGAAAGCCATAATGGTGCTGAAGGTATATGAGGAAACTGTCATTAGAATTTATGTTGTCATGTGAAACTTTCTGTGGCAAGAATACTGATCATTGTTCTCCTCATCTTTACAGAACAACTGGGTGGAACAAGAAAGGTAAGCATACATCTTGCATTGAGTTTTTTTGTTTTGTTTTCTCCTAGAAACACATTTCTAGCCCAGCCTTCATCCTCAAATAAGGGCTTCCTCTCAAACAAGTGCTCCTTTGGAATATGCGCCCCTCCTATTAGGCAAAACATGAAACAGCCCCCCCTCCCTTCTTCCCCCCAAGTAAGCCAACTCCATAGGTTTGGAAAAGTAACCATGCTGTGATGCTATTAGCACTTTAGGATCAGCCTTGTAAAATGATATGCTATCTATGCTGTTGGTTGTATACAGATGTTATGTTAAAATAAGTTGTCATATCTCGCTGTTATTTGGAAGAAACTTAAAGAGCACTGCTTAATAAGTGCCCCTCCCCTAAAAACTTTACTCACACAATGCCTCTTCACCCATGAGCAAAGATGTGTACTGGAAAATCGTCAGGGAAGCTTGATGAAATGCAGGGCAGGGTGACCTTGAGATGGATTAGCATCCCACCCAGAGGAGAGTAGTCATACTCCTAGTCGCTTCATGCTAAAGAAACTGGGACAAGCCCTAACTGGCCAATTGGCTTAAATACAGACTTGACCTCAATTTAGAAGGAGTACCCCAGATGCTAACTTTAGGATTGGCTGTATATTTTTGATTGCATTTGTAAACCAATTCAGGCTGCTTAATAATTATTTAGAGCAAACTTTTGAGTCCAATGCTCCATTATCAGTTTAATTGCTGTGTTTATATTTCTGTAGTGCTAAAAGAAATGGAATTTGTTGTGAGCTTCTGGACTGTGTTGAATCAGTAAGTAACAATGATACTGATTTAATTGCTCTTTTTTATTTCTTATAAATTTTGCTTATAAACTGAAATGAGTCGGTAATCAGAAAGTCTGATATTTAAGTGACTCTGATTTTTATTTTCACAAGAAATGTGTCATTCTACCATATTTTGTTTTTCCTGTTCTATTGAAGTATTTTCTTGATAGACAGTTCATGATTAATACTTATGAAAGAAATCTAGGAGTACTTATTTCTTGTAACTGAAAAAGAGAAAAAGGTTGTCTCTACTGAAAAACAGAAAACAAAGTTTTGGCATGAAAGGGACAAGCAGTGTTGGTAACATTGTAGTAGGTTGATCACAAGCTGTGATCCCAATGTTGTCATGGTTACTAGGTGGGTTTCTGAGGCCCTTTAAGAGAGTCGGGCGGCAATGTGATGGGCAGACAATACATGAAGTCAGACCTCATCCCATCCATTAATTTTGCCTTTGAAACATTTCAGCCTGTTCTCGATGGGTATCGAAATAAGTGTGAGTTCACTATAGCTGAAGGTCCTGATGGAGGTAGGATACTGTTGGCATGGTTTATGAACTTACATGCGCATTCAGAAATTAACTCCAAATAGAAGGCCTTGAATCTGACCCTTGGACATACAAGCTGCTTGAAATAAAGTGGCTGCCTCTCCACATCAGCCTTCTCTGCAGAAAGTTACAGCTACTTCATTACGAAGCTGCTCAGCTCCACACTTATCACTCTTGATAACCCTTTCACTCCCAGGAGTGACCAAAAATGAATTTCCCTTCATTTCTTCAACCCATGTACAAGCAGGAAGATAACAAGGAGAAGGGAAAATTGGTTGGTTACTCACCAAATTCTCAGAGCTAAAATTAAAAAAAATTGTATACTATAGTCTAACGCATTGCAGAAAAGTGATTTTAGACCTTGGGAGTGAAAGGGGGGAAAAGGGTGGTACCTTCCCAACATCGGCCACCTCTACACTGGCCAGTCATCGCTCATCAGTACCTCAGCAGTGTGGCTATTGTTGAGAGGTTCAACTGTTATTTGTACCACCCTGTTTGGTTTTGCCCTGTGGAAATATTCTGAAATTTTTCTATTGATACAAACAATCACATGGCTGAACATCATCTTGTTAAACTCCACACCATTTACAGGTATTCTTATTGATGGTTATGCAACTTAAAGCAGTAACTATCAATACAAGGAGCTGCTTTACTAATATAAAAGAGATTCCTCTCAACAGGTGTCAAGAACTTTTTGCACCCAACACATGAATTACCCTTTTCACAGCATGAGTCTAATAGCCATTCAAATAACAACCAAAAGTACAAGTCAGTTTCCACTAAGCAAATTTATAACAGTTTACTGCACTGCAAAATTTACTCTAACTTGACACTGATGATGTCTTCTGTTTGGGTTTTCAAATCATCAGTAAATACCTTCGCCTGAGGATCACACCACATTGTCAACCTCAGGAAAAAAATTTTTTTTTTTTTTCTTTTTTACATGAGGTTATGACCATTGAACTGCTGACCAGAGGTCCCCTTGTATGTCTGAGGGTTAAAACAAAAGTTACATTAATGTTGATGTTATTTAATTTGTTTCCAATGCAGAGAAATTTGTAAATTTTAATCTATTTCCAGACTGATATGTCTTTTTTAGGTGACATAGTTTAGTCTGTGCTCAAAATTTGTATGGCCTCAACACTTTTTATGTTTGTTTTGTACCTTTCTAAGAATAAAAATGAATTCCCTGAGGCAAACTGCTAACAGTCCACCACAGAATAAATAATTCTTTGATCCCCTCACAAATGAGTTTTTCATCATTTACCACCTAGCAGAAGTTCATTCAAGTGTCAAATTGAAGAGGTATTATGAAGGTGAAAAATTAAGTACTAGTATTAATATTGTTATTTAAGTTATCATAGCATAACATTTTTAAAAACATTTTCCCTTGTGCAGCTAAAACAGTTGGATTCCGCCTTGGTTCGTATAAAGGTAAGACCCTTGATTGGTAAATTTTCATCTGCATGAAGTATACCTTGGTGAAATTAATAGGGTAATTTTAGTATTATCAACTGAGTTGATTATGTAAATTGGCCATTATAAAGATTTTCTAAGCTGACATTTCGAGCATTAGTCCTTGGTCAGAGCAAATTGAGGAATTGTGGGTTGTGTGTGTTTTTTTATGCAGAAAATGGAGCGATGCTATTGGTGGAAATATGGTGACGAGACTACAAGAATAAATTAGTTGAATGAAAAGCACTTGTTGATACCAAAGATAAATTTTTGTTCTAGAGCTTTGCAGCTTTGCAAACTGCCTAGATGTAGGGAAACGCTGATTTAAGTGTCTAGCAACTGGTTTGGATGCATCCTTGTCATTTCTTTCTATGTCATGAAGATGTTCTTGGTGAAATTATAATGAGACACTGGTTAAAATTGGTGAAGAGAATTCCATGTTTCAGTTTGGCACATCAAACTAGAAAATGCATAGCTGTGTATCCCTTATATTCATTTACTTGATCAATTTTTTTTGGTTCTTTCCTAGAGGGTTATAGTGGAGTTGTAGAGCCATCTGAATGTATTCATATTTCAGATAAGGCCAAGGCCATTGCTAAGGTAAGATATTGCTTCTTTACTGATCTGACAATGTCTCAACTTACTATGATGTGACCAGTTTGTAATCGGGCCTTTGCTCTTTGCAGGCTTTTCAGACTTATGTACGGAAGTCGCCATTGCCAGTATATGATCTCTGTTTCCACACTGGGTAGGTTCTCCTATCTTTTTATTTGCTGTTTTTAGTTACTGGCAAAACGTGTTTGCTGGTGATTTGAGTGCATAATATTGACTATGTTTCTTTCTGACACCTGTTAAGATAAATCTGATATTTAACGATTATTTACTGAAGTGGAGGTAAATATCCAGCACCTTCACTAAAACAGTGGTGTATAGCTGTTTCAGTATGTAGCACACAGAAACTAAAAAAATTGTTAATTTCTTTCAAAATACTGAAAAATAATCCAAAATTAAACTCTTGAGTGTGATTTTGTCTTTGTGCCTGTTTATAGGTTAATAATACAAGCTAATCATGTCTGAATTAGCCAATTAGTGTGTGCCAAAAACAAGATTTACTTGTGTAGTATATGCTAAAATTTGATCTTGGGAGATGCTGTGGCTTAGTGGTTGGTAAGGTGGACTCTAGATTTAAAGATCTGGGTTCAAGCTATGGCTACATCATTGTGTTGTTAGAGATAAGCCAACTAGCTGATAAGCTAATTTCACTATAGAACCTGTTAACCAAGTTTGAACGTAAAAAATATTTTCTTCCCTGTTTGGTGGATAGATATTGGCAAACATTGACAGTTCGAAGCACTATGTATGGTGACACCATGGCCGTGCTACAGTTCAGCCCTCAAAAAATGACTAAGGTATTGTATGCTATGCACATGTACTGAGCATATTGAGATATATTGGAAACTTTGAGAATGTACTATATATTGTGAGTTACAGCATGCAGGTGCTATCTTTTTATAGTTGATTGCTGGTATAGAAAAAAAGACTGTCTAGTGGATTAATTTGACTCATTTGATTGACTGCTTTTAATTACTGTAGGAAGAAATTGAAGCAGAAAAAGAGCAAATCAGTGAATATTTCAAAACAGGAGAAGGGAAAGATGTAACACTTACATCACTCTATCTTCAAATAAATCACACGAGGTAAGATTATTCAGTGCTTTCAAGTTAAAAAAAACTATGTTGGAGACATGATAGTCTACAGTTGCAGCAACATTTCAACTACATTGTCTCTCCAGAAATAATTTAGTTTAAGTGTTTGAAGCCAAACTCTTTCTTTCTGTACATTCAGCTTCCTCTACATACCACAGCCTCTGCCATGTTAATGTATCTTTTAAATTTTAATATGTGACTTTGTGGCCTTATGCTTAACCATTTTCACCCCAACGTCAGTATACATATTCTCCATACTGTTCTATATACATTTCCTATGGTACTGACAGGGAGAATTTGTTTAACAATCAGGAGCTTCTTCAGTTGGTGATCATTTCCTTTATTCTCATGACCTCAGTGTTTTTTTTAGGGGTGATAATGATTGGAGAAAATAGTTACTAATCACTCTTAGGGGTTAAAGGGTTAATGCACTGAGCTGTAAGTCAAGAGGTCCTACCTTAAGCCATGTCTGGGTCATTGTGTTGTTTTCTTGGGCAAGACACTTGTGTCTACCAGTGAGTCTGGCCTCCATGGAGTATAAATGGGTACTAGCAAACTGTCAGGAAACCTGAAACAAAATACTAGGGGCAAATTACAAGGTGCATCCCATCACTGGGGGCAGTTCTGCCCCAGGATCTATGCTATGATGTATGCTATGATTAAAGGATCTATGCTATGGAATTTAGATAAAACTGCAGCATTGTGGGGCAGACTTTAATCCATATTTACAAAAAAGTCTGTAACATCAATGTAACTTTGTTCCTTGTACAGGGCTGTAGGAGGAAATGCAGAGGCTCCTTTTGTTCATATCATGGGAGATGAGGTGAGTCCTGCGATGCAGTGTTAAACAATTCCCTCCTCTGATCCTCTCAATACAACTTTATCCATACATAATACTCTTTTTTGGTTTTGTATACCTTTGTTGACTTTTGCTCTAACTGAAGTAATTTGTTTAATTTTAAGCATATTTATGAAGAGCTTTGTGGATTGAAATTCAGAATATCTCCTGATTCCTTTTTTCAAGGTAAACAGCCATCGTTAATTCAACGTAGTTTTCTCATAGTTTTTGCCTTGATTAACGATAAGCCTCTAATTTGTGGTATTTAGTAGCTTTCAACCAAAAATCACAGCAACTAATCAAAAAAAATATATATATCCCTCGGAGCAAATTAGGACACTAGGTAAAAACAACCAAACTCTCTAAAGCACAGGAGAACACAGCCTAATAAGCCAGGATTGAATAAAGGAGGTAACTTTTTAAAGAGACTGTGGTGCTACGTCGATGAGAGAGTATAACAGGGTCATTTAGCATTATCAACCGTAAAGAGTTTCAAAGCTCAAAATGTTTTGAACTCTTGCGGTGGCCAATTTACGTTATCAACGCTGTTGATAATACTAAATTTCCCTGTTAAGTCAAGATTGGTTTTTGGTTTTGAATCTGCCTATTGGTTTAGACGAGGGCATCAGTTGTCTAGACTTAATACTGAGTAAAGTAGGGTCAAACGGGTGTTATCCCACACGGCTTTTGATGCAATCACTTTGATGTACCCGTTTGTTTTCTGTGCCCAGTGAACACCAAGGCAACTGAAAAGTTATTTGACTTGCTGAAAGAGTGGTGTGGTGACCACCTAGACGAAACAGTGGTACTTGGTGAGTAATAGGCATACCACTTTTAGAGTGCTTTTTCGATTGTGTATCTTAATACGAAAACCAAAGTAATGACAACAGCTAATCAGAGCAGAGCAAAATATCACAAGGATAGCAACAGTAAAATCAAGCAAAGTATATGAAGCACGGGAAAAGCGAGCAATCAAGTTGTCATCGGTTTTAGTTTTGAATCTGATTGGTTGAGAAAATGGTGCGAGTTTTGCTCAAGCCTGGGCATCCTGTAGAAAATTTGTTGAAGGGTGGGAAATGCACCAATGGTGTTCTTACATCAGTTCATAGAAGAACCAGCTGTGAGCAAGCTATGGTAGAACCCAATTGCATACAGAAAGAAACTGTGGTGCTGCGTCGGTGGGAGAGTATAACAGGGTAATTAAAACTCTTTATGGTGGCCAATTTACGTTATCAACTCAGTGCATAATACTAAATTTCCCTGTGGTAGAACCCAGCTGTTTTTAACATAAAAGGGAAAATAAAAATGACCGGAGGGAGTGATGCTTAGACTCAAGTGAGTTCGAGATGACCATGGTAAATTGCCTAAAACCTTGAGCAAAATCAGTGGTACTTTCGACACCACAGCTTAAGAATCTTCATTTTAATAATGGTATCTATGTTCTCTCTCCCAGACATATGTTGTGGTACTGGAGCCCTTGGTCTATGTCTGGCCCAGGTGGGTTAAGTATTTCTTGTTGATAACACATTCAGAACCCTTTTCATCGCAGCAGCCAGCCGGGACAAAGGTTTACGACATGACGAACCGGTGGGAACTCGAAATAAATGCATGGAAGTGGCATCTGATGGGTCGAGAGGGTGGCGCTGACTTCTAGACTAGTCTAAGGGCATAATAAATCTAACCCAACCCGATTGTATTTGAAACCCAATTCAAAATTGCTCCAATTTTTCCAAGGAAAACCAAACTGGGGATTTCTTCCTAGACGGAAAATTATTACGCCACACATGATAAATCAGCCTGCTGCGAATATTTGAAAACTGGAAAATTGTCTAATAACCAGCGATTCTTTTACAGAGCGTGAAGCGAGTGATAGGTGTTGAGATTATCGAAAATGCTGTGGAAGATGCCAAAGCTAATGCGGATTTAAACGGTGAGTTCGTACATGTTGCCTTTCCCATACATACAGCTCTTTGCCATTCTTTTTAAATCGTCTCTGAAAAATAGCGGCCGAAGGGCTATGTATGGTTGCCCGAGCCATGAGAAGCATACCGCAAACGCTCCATTAAAAACCCCAACCCCACCCCTTTGGCTTGGGCTTCTTGACGGGGGAAGGGGGGGGGGTTTCCGTATTAGAAAGCGGTGCCTGTCAGAGGCAGGGGTGGCGTGTTTAAACTCGGCCGCCCAGCTTTTGAGAAAACTACACACAGTTTACATTTCGTTACATAAGAAACGCAATAGTTTAAAAAGAAATTGATACAGCCTTGAATACAAGGATATTTTGTTATTTCGGTATTGCTATTTGTCAAGCATTATTATCATATTTTTTTTTCTTGCCGTGCGTTTTTATTGTGGAGTCTTGTGATGGGGGAAGTGGAGACAAGGGTCCCGTACGGAAGAAGGTTTAATCCTTTAACTCCCAGATCAAATTTGTAATTCTCCTCACTGTCCACCATACAATTCTTTTAATGTTAGTTCAGAGAATTTAGTATTGGATCAACTAATTATCCTCAAATTGATATTTTTCTCTGTTCTCATCACTTATCTGGTTGATATTGAGTCGATACTGTAAGGAGAAATTCTGTCTTGGTCACTCATGGGAGTTAAAGGGTTAACAGCAACTTGAAGCTCCAGACGGGGAGATTTTATGGAGAGGGCGACCCAATAAGGCCATTTACGATGATCCTGTTTAATACAAATTGAGTGTTTTTGATTGAAGCGGGCCGAAGTTTTGCTCATAGAGAAGATTTGGCTTTCTTTAAAAGTCAGAAATTTATCACTGTATCTTGCACTTTAGGGGTTTCAAACGCTCAGTTTGTCTGTGGGAAAGCGGAAGACATCATTGTTGACGTGTTCAAGAACATGCCGAGAAAAACTAAGATCATCGGCATCATGGACCCACCCCGAGCTGGACTTCGTAAGTCACCGGAACACATCGTGAATATTTCGTAACCAGCATGTGTTGCGTAACTTGTACAGTTTATTGCCGTAAAATTTGCTCTATCGCAATGTGAAAATTTTTCGACTCAATTGAGTTACATGGCTATGCCTGTAAGGAATATTCTAAGGGAGTAAGCGCATAAAGTAACCAGAAAAGGAAGCGCTAGAATTGTTAGGATATGTGATACCACTAGCTGTGCAATTTACAACGCTAGACGTTGCATCAGATGCTTATTTTATTTTCTTTATTATATAGTCCTTCTTATTACTTTTAGCCTTTCCTTTCTTTATGTGTCTGTCTTGAACCGACAGCTCTTTCTCTCTACCTTAGGGTGAAACAACCATTTCCTCTGAACTGAGTTATGTTCTGTCTTTTTGCTTTTTCTATTTCTGTAGACCAGTCAGTTATACACGCAATCAGGAAGAGTCGTCGGATGGACAAACTGATATACGTGTCATGTAACCCAAGCGCTGCTTTCGTGAACTTTCTCGAGTGAGTTTTCGACTTTCTGCCATACGTTTTACTTCTACTCTTCCCAACGAAGTTCAGAGGGAGGGGGGTTGAGGGTAACCCGTGATGGAACAGGGACTTGCAATATTGTTAGCAGCTTCTTACCTCAGAACTCGGATGTAAGCTTCGACGGCGATAGATTACGAGGCTTTTTACAATAGAGTATTTTTCAATTGAGTGTTGACAAACCGAGCCAAAGTAATTACAATTACCAATCAGAATACAGGGTAAAATCATCAGCAGCCAATGAGAACTCATCGTAAAAAAACAGACAACCTGCTTAAAGCTTGGGAGAACACGAGTGACCGAGTTGGGACTGGTTCTAGTTAAAGATTTTGGCCCAAATTTCCTGGACCAATCACATAAGGAACTGAGGCGGGGTTATTTTCGATACTAAACTTTAACTGTTCTAATGACCATGGCCCAGTTGTTCAAAGGATGATTTGCACTAATCCAGGGTTACATTTTAATCCGGGTTTCTTTAATTCTTTGTTCAAAAGCCTTTTTTGGATGATTTTCACTATTCGTCATGCAATCATTAAATTGGAGACAAAAAGACATTTATACTGAATTTTCTTTTGAAGCCTTCAGAACTGAAATCAGATTTCACACCAACCCTTGGTTATTTTAATCCAGCTTTGGAACAACCCGGCCCATAACTATACTAATCTTGGTAATTTAGGCGACGAAGGAAAAATTTTTAAGTTGGGAAAAGCTTTTCTTTCGTTTACTTCTAGTTTTACACCTTTTCGGTCCTAGCCTTGCGTTTTTTTAACGACTCGCACTCAATCACGCAATCACTTTTGTCTTTTTTTTCCTTTTATTTTCAGTCTATGTAGGCCAACCTCAAAGAGGATCAAAACAGCACCATTTCGCTTGGTTAAAGCCGTACCTGTGGATCTTTTTCCTCATACTAAACACTGTGAATTATTGCTGCTGTTTGAGAGAGACATGACCTCTGTGGATGCAGCAAAGTTTTACAAGTGGTACTACTAAACTGGTCATCAAGGTGTACTTACCTTCATCGATCAGGAAATAGTTAATATAACAAGTTTAGGTTTATGATTTCGAGTTTTTGAGTTTGAATAATTTGTTTCTTTTTCTGTTTAACGTTAATGAATAACCCACAGAAAACATAATACTCACCATATTAGTATTATTAGTGTGAAATTATTTAACATTGTGGTTTTCAAGGACCTAGTTTTGTTATGTTCTGTTAGCCTGAATAGACATTTTCTTTCTTTGAAACAACAGCATTACCGAGTTATGCTGAATTGTAAGTGAATTTATACAGCATGAATTGAAGATCAAAGGTGAAATTGTTTTTTCGAACCTCAAACTCGTAACTCATTGATCTAACATGTCTTACAGAGAAGATATTACATGGCTGTGCGTGGATACGAATTTAGTCCTCGAGTGTTCGATGGGATGATATCAACACGAGAAGATAAATTCGTATCCACTAGGTGACATTTTAATGTTCTGTTTACGTAAATATTGATCGCGAGTCAAGATCACATCAATTTTTAACCAAATTTTAATGGAACCAAATGCAAAAATCACCTGCACGTAAACTCAGCTCGTAGGAAAGCTATCTCAGCTTTCTACATAACCGTAAAACAAAATATAATACCAAAAATTTATTCCTTTGAACTAAATAATATATAATTCTGACCTTAGAGGTAAACATTATTCGAAGAGAAAGGTTACGTGGTTGACTCTGACACAGAGTACGGCCATTAAAAAGAAAGAACATTTGATACTGAACTGGCTTCTGCTTGACTTAGTTTTTTCTTTAACGCGCTTAAAAAATCAATGCATCCAGAAGTTCAAGAAATGGAAATGGTTGTTAGAAGTAGTATTTAATGTAAAATCATCTTTGGATTGCAATATTTAACGTAGGTATAGACGTAAATTATTGTGAAAGTCAATGCGTCAGAATGTTGTATCTGCCGCATTTGAGAATAAGCAAGTCTACAGAGGATATAGATTCCCATTAAACTAAAGTTGTGATCTCTGAGAACAAAACGAAATGATATTTTTGCGAGCTGTCGCCCTTCCCACACTCCTTCTGTGTAGAAAACATTCAAGGTCTGAAAACGAACAAGGAGTCATGAGGCCACAGGTCGGAAAAAGGGTGTGGAAAATGGCATGCGCTGATCTGATGTGAGACCAGGAGTTGGGGAGTGGGGAGGCACACTCCGAACAAGAATTATAATGACGACCCATCCCCCCCCCCCCCTCCACCTTACCTTTGACAAAAGTAAGGTGGCACGTAAAGATACACCTGTATTTTGGATGCCAAATGACTCATCTTGCTAGAGCTTATCCCAGTTTCAGTAGCGAACAATGAATAGGAATATTGCTGGTTCCATCGTTTCTCCCTCCTATCTGCCACTGAATGGGATGCTTGTCCATCACAAGGTTAACCCTTTGCATCTCAGAAGACCTCAGTGTTTTCCAGAAATGATTAATCCTTCTGAATGGGTAGAGACACTGTAAAAGCTGTGTCTCGCCCATGAAAAACAAACAAACACAAACGAACACAGTGACCTTGCTAGGGCCTGGTGCCGGACATTTTAACCCATAGGCCATTGGGGCTCTCCTTCAGACAGTGTCAGGATATAATTCAATATGTCCTCTGAAACTACTTTAGAGAACTTCATCCATTGTTTTATTCCCAAATACTATACAATTGGTAATAGTCAAAAGTAACTTAATCATTCATCTTGATTAGGAAGATACCATCTCCAACATAGGGGAGCTAAATCAATTTGCTTAATTAGGAATCTAATCAAAAAAATTGTCAAAATCAAATTCCCTTTATCCGTGTTACATTTTTACAAATTCGTACATTCTATACATAATTCTCCTTCACAGCTGTTGTCCGGCACACACAATGTGCTCCCTAACCCATTATATTACGAGACTGAATAACAGCCACAATCTATATACATTGTAGAAGCTTTCAATTAGGTATTAAAAAAAAAAAACCAAAACCAAAGTCGTCAGAGCGACCAACGAGACCAAAGGTTAACATCGCCAGTAGCCAATGAGGACTAGCAGTGAAAACATGCAAACGCCTTAAGGCGCGGGAAAACGCGGGCGTTCAAGTCACAATTGTTTCATAGGTTTGCATCTGATTGGTTAAGAGGATAGCACAAGCTTTCTGGACCAATCACAGAGTGAAGAAAAGCTTAACCCTTTAACTGAGAGTGACCAGCATCAAATTTCTCCCATCAATAAACCCCTGCATCACACAGTAAGGTCATGAGAATAAAGGAAATGATCACAAACTAAATATTCTCTAGATTGATAAACACACTCTCTTTGTCAGCACCTTAGGAAATGTATAGAAAACAGTATGGAGAATGTCCATATTGATGTTAGGGTGTAAAGGGTTAACCAAAGCTATCATGGATTTTCTTTTTGACACTCAACTGAAAATTTCTCTGTATTAGATAATAAATGTGATATTTTCAAGTTAATCGGTGTTCAAAGATATAATTAGAAATTACACCCATTTTGAAATCACTGGTGGTCCCTGTAATCTGATTGGCTCTGATTGGTGCGATTTATTCACGATTGCACCATTTTTTGCTTTAAATCGCATCTTTTTTCCAGTTGAAGAGGAGGCTACACTAAAAACAAAACAACCAATCAGACTTCAAGGCTTGTTTAAAGTAACCGATCAAATTGCAGGAAGATGAAAGACATGAATGATCATGCGGCAAATTTTGCAACTTTTGTTTCCAAAACTCTTATTTTTTCCTCCCAAAAAATGGATGACTTTAATTCCAAACTGGCTCAGTATTGTAGTAATAAATATTTGAATTGACCAAGTCCTGTATTTGGGTGATTTCAAAATGGATGTAATAAAGTGGTAATTGAACCTCGTGTTGTGCAATTTTGGTCTGAAATTATACTTGTGATTTCAAATTGAACTCACGCTGTGCGCTCGTTCAATTTTGAAATCACGCGTATGATTTCAGCCCAAATTGCACTCCACTCAGTTCAATTACCATTATAAATATCCATGGCAAAGTTTCATTCAATTTAAGATACACTTTTGCCCAGCAGACTAAGCTTTAGGAGGTGAAAACACTCGTCCAAAAAATTTCAAATGTGCTGCACACTTAAGAGTTAACCATTCATGTAACTTCTCCTAACATATCAATAAATAATCCAACAAAGAGAGTGATGAAGACATAAATTCATCAGGTTGGTGTTACTGGGATGAAACACCCATCCCACCACTGAGTAACTATGGAATAACTCACAGCTACATGGAATTACCTGATTGGTCGGATTTTAAGATTGAAGTAACTGGAGCCTCACAACATAGCCCCCTGTCAATGAAAACAGCAAATTTCTTTACGATGCAAACAGTTGGGTTACGTAACCAATACACTGATCCTTCAACGAGACTTGTCAGAGAGCAATATATCTTTAGATTAAATCCAACTGGTTGCTCTGTAGCTGGATCAGTCACTGAGCTCTGACCAAACAAAACTTCAACTCAGAGATTCCTTGCCACTAGTCTTTTGTAACCCTCAGTTCTTTGTTTGTACCCTACAACGCAGAAAAAAGATGTTGGTATTAGCTTTACACATACAGTTAAAAAGAACTTACTTGAGAATTCTTTGCTGAAAAAGCTAAGCCTTTTATGATCCACATTCAAACCTATTTATGTATTGTAAAACAAGACATTCTTAACATCTCATGACAAAATGACAAAGACAAAAAATCTCATTTCAAAGCTGTTCAAAACCCTGCTGACCAGCATCTAATTCCTTATAATATCACCCCTGAATCACACATCAGGGTCATGAGAATTAAGGAAATGATCACCAACTGCAGATTCTTTTGATTGTTGAACAAATTCTCCTTATCAGCCCATAAGAAATGTATAGAGAACCGTATGGAGAATATGCATACTGATGTTAGGGTGTAAAGTGTTAAGAAAGGCTACTAACTAAAACTTAATGAAACACTATATACCTCTTTGCCTTCCACTTTGAGGCCCAACTCTTGAGCTGTCTGTTTAATGTAAGCTCTTTCATGCTGAGTTAATGTTGTAGGGAAAAAGATTTCTTTAGTGCCATCCTCCTCTTTAAACTCCCTGCACAGCACAAAATGAATGAAAAGAAAGGGAAAAAAAAAGAAATTTAAATTCCATCCATTTTGCCATAAAGGAATAATTTACAAATGAAAGGGCAAAGGGGTATGATGGCTCACCTTAATTGTTTAATAAGCACTTCCTTTTTTCCAGCTTCAAGGTCTACAGGTGCCTGTACAGATTTTTCATCCTTACCTTGTTCTGAGTAAATAAAAGGAACATTTTGGTATGGTTGACTCCTAAGAGAGTTCAGCATCTAATTTCTCCTTTAATCATAACCATTACAAATTCCTCAAATATTATTGGTGCATTTGCAGCTTCATTTTTCACTAATCATTCTGTACAGTTGTAATAGGACAGTGTAATCAGACAGTTGGCTGTAATCGGACACCTATAATTGGACAGTTGAAGTAGCCAATCATACTAAGTCCACTCAGCTAATCCACTAATCACAGAAATGATCAAAATAACCATAGCAACAACCTCTTATCCAAAGAAAAACTGGGGGATTTCTAAAATAAAGGAACTTTAGACAAAAGACACTGTCTCCACTGAAGACAATGGAAATTGAAATGGTTATAATTAATTGGACTGTCATCCAATTCTGTCTGTAATCATACTCGTAATTAACAAATCGGACTCCCACTTCATGCTCATCAAATTTTTTTCATCACTTGTATGATTACAGACCAAATTGGACTCCACTCAGTCCTATTACCATTGTATCTTATCACCCCCCAAACCACATGTTCACATCGTGAGAATAAAGGAAATGATTGTTAAACAAATTCTCCTAGTCACTACCTTAGGAAATGTAAAGAGAAAAATACGGAGATTATTTGTACTGATGTTAGCATGCAAAGGGTCAAACATCTGTCTATCTGATAAAGAGGTAACAAATTTAAATGTTGTTTATTTTATCTTGACAGTTCCTTTTTCTCGCTGACTCAGCAAAACAGTGTCTTTTAAAGTAATCGCTATTTGCTACATACCTTTCTTAGCAGGAGCAAACATTCGTGCAAAAGTCTGCTTTTCAAGGGATTTGAATTGACTCACTTTCCTACATTTGATGAAAAAAAAGTTCCATACCATCTCAAATGAAAAATACTTTGTTGCAGATCAATATCAATATTGGAAGGGGTTTTTTTTTTTTTTTTTTTTTTAACCCTTGAACCTCTGAGAGTGATTGGCTTCTAATTTCTCCTTACAGAATCACCCTTGAATCAAATGTAAAGGTGACAAGAAAACAGAAAATAATCACCAATTTTGGAAGCCCCTGATTGTGAAGTAAATTCTCCTTGTCAGTCCCATAGAAAATGTATAACAAACAGTATGGAGAATACCAGGTGTGAATACTGATGTTAAGACATAAAGGATTAAACAAAAGTTCACGTCCTCAGCATAAAATGCCTATGTGTATGCCTGTAAAATTTTACTAAGACTCCTTAGAAATAAAGTTGCAGTCCACATACCTGTCCAGTTCAATAAGGGCATCTTTTATTGCTTTATTGTTGGGTTCATAATACTGTGCTTTCTTGAACTTATCTCTAGCGCTGTCAAATTCACCCTGCTTCTGTAAGGCCTGTAAATCAAATTCTCAGTATGAGGGATGGTGAAGGTTTATCACAAGGCATTACTAGACACTGCTGAAGTATGCATACAGACAAAAATTACAGGTATCCTGAAAATTATCAATTTTTTCAGGGAAATAATTTGTATTGCAAATTCAATTAACTGCATCACAAGATACATGTATTGTAAACAATTATGTAGGGGGCATATGACAGATTTCACTATTAATAATGTAAACTAAGTCTGTACATTTTATCTGAAGTAGTTGCATCCCCACACTTACCATTCATATGGAAAGAATGTACAATTTTGCAACTTAGGGCACACTACAAAACTGTGCATTGTTCCTTTGGCAAATGAGAGAGATTTGTTTTGTGTGTGCAAGATACAAGAGGCTGTAAAAGCGTTTTGCTTACCACTACTTAAATGGAGGTTAGCTGATCAGTGAACGAATAAATGTTACATTACTCATCCATTTGTTTACATCCCTCAAACAGTCCATAAACCTGCAGAGTGCAAGAATTTTTAAAAGTTCAAATTACCTTGCCCATTCTATAGAGAGCCTTCACATTCTTTGGGTCAATACCTAAAGCCTGGAAGAACAAAAACATTATTTTGATGGTTACAAGGTTAGTAATAGATAAGGATTTTTTTACCACAAGGAAATGAATTTGTATCCACAAGTGGACATAGAATGTTCTTTTTATTAGGTACTAGCTATATACCTAACAATCAAAGACAATTTTAAAATATATTTCAAGGGCATCAACTGCTGTGATGACCTGAAAGAACAATCAGCTCAAGGGAATGCTACTTCAACTTTTGACAGAAAAGACAAAACAATTCTCCTTATAAAAAGTCTTTCTTCAGTCACAGAGAAAGCTAAAAATTAGCCTCAGTCATGAAAACAAGCAACAATAAGACATCACCAGCAACAGCTCTATAATTTTTCAAACCCTTAAGGGGATGCTTTGCCTTAAACCATTTAGTCACCCATTATAAAGGTATATTAGATGGGCATAAGTTTTTCTTCAAATCTTTTGACAAAAGCATAATGTGTCTACCAGTACCTTTCTTGCATAGGTCAGAACTTTCTTTACTTCTGCCAACTCTAGAAAACAGTGAGCAGCATTGAGATAAAGTTTTAGCAAAACTTCATTCATCCATCTCTCTTGATCAGCATTTTGTAAATGGCAGTTTTCCAGTAATTTGATTGCCTATAGTTACAAAATTTAATTAGAAATATTAGTTAATATAGAAGAATGCACAGAAATCACCTAGACTTGATTCAAACAGACTGAGAAACCTTGGGATCCAAAAAAGAAAAATTACAGTCGAGAAAGAGTCCAGGTATTCAAAATATAGAATTATATTTCTCGAACATGGTAATGAACTGAATGAATTTTGTCATCACAAGATTTATGGTTAAAAGTCCTCAATGACCACCTCCTCCCTTAATTGTTCTTAAAATGCCATCTGAATTTCATTTCAAGATCTCCTCTCTGCCAAAAGCTTGATTTAACTGTTTCACCCCTAGGCGAGACTAGCATCTATAATTTCTCTGTACAATATCACCCCTGAATCACACATTAAAGCCACAAGAATAAAGGAGATGACCACCAACTAAAGAAGCTATTGATTGTTAAACAAATTCTCCTTGTCAGCAGCTTAGGAAATGTACAGAGAACAGTATGGAGAATATGCAAAGGGTATAGACTGAGGTTTAAGGTTTTTTCATTTGCTTCACAAATTTTCTATGATTTCATTATATCCCACATTTAAGGGGTAAATTACAGCTCTTCACCCAAAAATATATCTTTTAACATCTACACCTTTGCTTAATCTTTTTATATTGAATTTCATTTATTTATAGTGAAAATGATTAAAATTAGAGCTCATGCGTTTCATACCTTTAAATACTTGCCCACAGCACGATGAACTTGCTTTCGTTTATAAAAGTCATTTCCAGCCTAGAAAAAATGAATAACATGAAATGTAAAAGAGCAAATCACAGAATGCTTTGCAGAAAAAAAAAATACAAATCATTACAAAAAACTTGTGGTTATTCATCCAGGTGAATAAATTAGACATGAGGTACAGTAGAACACCACTAACTCAAACTTTCAAGGGAAATAAAATTTGATTCAAGTTAGCAGGAGTTTGAGTTATTGGGATTGGTGTTAAATTTCAATGATCCTGTTAATAATTAATAAGGAATGTTTTTCCCACTCTCACTTGATCAAGAATCACTTTGTTGCATTTAGTTTTTTAACAAGGGCTTTTTGATATTAAGAACATTATCTTTAGGAAGTTTAGCTGAATGTATTATGTATTATCAATCACGACTTAAAAATTGGGAAGTGTCAATCAGCTACATTCTGACACTTTTGCTTTAATTACCAAAGTTTTTACTGAGTTCCAGTTATCAGATTAAATTTTAGCCTAGGGAAAGTAAAATTTGTTTGAGGTAAAGTGGAGTGTGAGTTGAATGAGTTCAAATTAGCTGTTAGTAAATGACTGGAAAAATAGGGTCAAATCCAAGGGAAATCTGATCTTTTTCAAATCAGTGGGGTTCAACTGTATTACCATTTGCCTTGTGATGCAAACATTTCAGAAATGGAGCAAGACATTTACACTTCCAAGGGCAAGTATATTTAAGGGCATGATGTTGATCAGTTATCAAAATAACAAAATATTAGAGAAAAAAGGGGGCAACTGTGGTGCTGCATCAGTGGGAGAGTGTAACAGGGTAATTTAGTATAATCAACTGAGTTGATAATGTAAATTTGCTACTATAAAGAGTTTCATAGCTGAAGTCTTGAGTGTTAGCCCTTTGTCAGAGCAAATCTTAGGTGAATTCTTCTTAAGATTCCACTTAAGAACCTTCACTCTGATGAAGGGCTAATGCTCGATACCTCAGCTTTAAAATATTAAAGAGTTTTACATGAATGTAAATGAATGAACAAAATTTAACACTGCCTTGTGTACCTCTCTTTCTGAGTTAGCCACTTTAAGAAGTTGTTCAAATGATGCTTGCTTCCTCTCTTCCTGTGAGCAGAGAATATTTCAGATTGTCAGGAAAGCCTGATGAAAGGCTGGGAGGTAACCTTGTGACGAACTAGCATCCCATCTGGGGGTGAGTAGTAATACTCTTATTCACTTAACCCTTTAACTCCCAGGATCTCATTTATTTAGTTATTCTCCTTACTGTCTGGCATACAGTACTTGTGATGTTAGTTTGGAGAATTTGGTATTGGATCAAATTGTAATCCCCTTACGGACATTTCTCTTTATTCTCATCACTTGTGGGCTTGATATTGTAAGGAGAAATTCTGTCTTGGTCACTCATGGAAGTTAAAGGGTTAATGCTACTTGGAAACCAGGATAAGCTCTGGCCGGGTGGACCAATACACACAAGTACATTCTAAACACCTTTAACCCTTTACCTCCCAGATCAAATTTGTCATTCTCCTCACTGTCAACCATACAATTCTTATAATGTTAGATCAGAAAATTTAGTATTGGATCAACTAATTATCCCCAACTTGATATTTTTCTTTATTCTCATCACTTATCTGGTTGATATTGTATTGATATTGTAAGGAGAAATTATGTCCTGGTCATACATGGGAGTTACAGGGTGAATGCTACTTGGAAACTGGGATGACCTATGGCTGGGTAGATCAATACACATGAGTATATACTTAACCTAATATCTTTAAAGTAAATGTAATCAAGAAATGGTTGGTCGGCCAGCAATTGCACCCTATGCAAGCTGGCAGGCAGTGTGCAGAGTTTCCCCTGATACTTCAGGGGATTATTCAAGAGATTTCATAATTTAGCTCTGCTTGGCTTATTTTAGCAGATCATCAAGCAACACTGCCTCCTATACTCCAGGCCCCTCCTACTTCCAGGCTCCAACTCCCAAGTTTATCATTTGTCAAAGAGCTGGTTTGGCCTAAACTTTTAATAAGGTCAGTTATATTTCTGATGTGTGAAAAGAATCATGCAGAGAATGCCAAATAAGTTACATATCTAACATAATCCAATTGATATCTGCACTAAATAAGTTAATAAATATTCTTATTATTACCATATCTATTATTATTATTATTATTATTATTATTATTATTGTTGTTATTATATCTACTGACCTCAGTAAATGCGTCAAAATCATCAGCAGCTTTGTGGTCAATGAAGTTCAGTAACTCCACTTCAAAAAGTACTGTTAGTAGAGAAATTAAATAAAATAAGGTAAAATATGGATGAACCTTTAAAGTTGATCTGATGCCATCATCAACTGTCAACAACAACAATAATAACAATAACAAACTGAGGTAGTAGTTGAACTCTGAGATATTACTGTCTGGCTTCTTTGGTAAACCATTATCCCCTGTTCTACTGCCCCTATCTTCTTTCCTAAGTTCACAACAGGCAGTTTGTTTGCAGTATTTGGGAGAACAACATTGAGAGAGGCTAAGGAGGCTGCTAGTGTCCCAAAAATAATTTATGTCTCTGGAAGAGTAGGTTAGGGGACTGCATTTTATTTTTAATCACAGCAACATAATCATGAACACAAACCTTTTGCTGATGCAGGTATACGAGGAGTACAACCCATCTCTAAATAGCCATATTCTGGAGTCACAAGAAACTTAGACTTTTCTCCTTTCCTCATGGTCCGTAAACCAAGATAGAGACCTAGAATGTTTTCCTCTGAAACCATAAGAGTTAAAGCTAAATTTTAGTGTACATGTTAAAGTTAACAAGGATTCCAGGTCAAAATGATTTCACACTAGTTGAATTGTATGCTCCTTTGATTACTAAATATGTTAGTGTATGTGGAACAAAGGGAGAAAAAAGCATCAAACTAATTGAAAATAAATCCAACTTTTCATGTGAGAAGTTGAATTATTCATGTATCATAGAAGGAGGAGGGGAGGGTGGGGGAGGAGTTGGGAGACATGATGACTTGGTGGTTGGCACTCTATATGCAAGATTAGCCTCAGGGAGCCCTGTCTAGAATATTCAGTCACATTTTTTAGGATAAGATTATTTAATGACAAATTTTTGTTGCCATATTTGTGGACCATGCACTGCCACGTTCCCACTTTG